AAATAATAATAGTAAATAATAAAATACATCTTTAACAAAATAATAAAGCCAGGTATGGTGGTACATGCCTTTATTCTAGTACTCAGGAGGCAGAAGCAGGTGGATATGTAGGCCAGCCTGATCTACATATCAAGTTCCATGCCAGCCAGGGTTACACAGTGAGACTATGTTTAAAAAAAAAATGCTAAAACAAATAAGGAAATGGAGGCTCAGAGAGCTTTGGCAGTTTACTTAAAGTCATCATCAAGGCTCAGCCAGAAGCTGAACTTGGACTTGTGTGGCAATAAATGCCTGCTATTCAGATTTTGACACAGCATCCCTTCTAGCCCAGGGTGGCCTCAAATTTTCTTGTAAATAGGATGACTTCAAACTACTGCTCTTCCTGGCTCTACCATTTGAGTGCTGGAGTTATATCCTAAGCCATGGCCTTTCAGGTTGTCACACACCTGCACATCACGGTATGACAGCAACAGATTCATGATGATATCAGGGGTCAGCAGCTCTACACTGTCCAGTCTCCTCTGCAGGCGAGCCAGCTCCTGCCTCAGCTGCTGCCCACTGAACCGCTCTCGAGCCTGCCGGATATCCTGCCGAATGGTCTCCCGGAAATAGCCACTGATGCCCAAGGCCAGGGAAGGAAGAGAGAGAGAATGATAAGCCTGTCCCTCAGTCCTAGCCCACTTTACCCTCAGCAGCCTCTTCCTGGTGCCCCCTCCTTGTGCGCCCCATTACCAAGAGTCTGTGGGCGTGGCCTCCAACAGGCGGGCAAGCCGGCCTACCAGGGGAGTGAGCAGGGCCTCAGTGCCCGCCCCAGCCTGTACTAGCCCATCAGCTATGCCCCTCAGGAGGCCTGCATCGCCACATAAGACCCGGCCAGTGGCTGTCACCACATAAGGGATCAGTGTGTAGCTGCCAGCGCAATCCTGGTGGGAAGAAGGCAGCAATCAGTGGAGATCACACACAGTCAGCAGCAGAGGGTTAGAGAATGGCCAGAAGTTAGTACCAGTGAAGGCAGCAGAAAAGGGCCACACTTTACAAGAGGAGGTAACACGGAGCGCAGGGTCACACTGATGTCAGAGATAAATGAAGAGGCGGGAAGATTAGTAGAGGTCAGAGGTCACAACAAAGCATGAAGGGTAAATTCTGCTCACCGAGTTCTTCTGGAAAACATCCTCCTGCAGGAGGCAGACAATCAGACGCTGGCATTCTAGGAAGGCCACACCCCAGCCCCACTCCTGCCCCCACCACCCATCTGGCCACTTACACGCAGGGCTTGCAGGTCAGGGAGCTCTGCTTGGGAACAGAGGAGCACATTGTTGGTCATGCTGAAGCTCTCCCGCACTCCCAGGTGGTAGAACAAGGAGGGCTGTGCCAGGGAGTTGCTCACCTCCAACACCACCACATCTGTGGACGCAGAGGAGGCCCAGTGTGATGCACAGTCCCATGGGAAGGCGCCTGGAGATGTCTGCCGCCTCAACTGCCGTGCCTGCCACCCCTGCCAGGTTTGGTTCTGCTCTAGGGAGCTCCCAATGGTTTCACAATACTCGTATTGCTGGTGTTACCGAAGATGCCCAAGGACTCTCATCCCACTGAGAGCCTGGAAGCCTCAGGAGACATATGAGGGTGCTCCAACTAGGCAGCTCCAGGTTATGCAGGAGACAGAAACTTTGCAAGCAGAAGTCTCATACTCTGGCTCCTCAACTAGTCTGTCTGTCTGTCTCTGGTTTGTTTCATTTACACGTATATGTGCGAGTCAGTGTGAGTGTATGATAGCAGAGGGCAATGGATCTTCTGGAGATGAAGTTGCAGGTGGTTGTGAGCCACCCCACCTTTGGGCTAGGGATCCCATGCCCTCTGGAAGAGCTCGTGCTCTTAACTGCAGAGCCATCTCTCCAGCCTTGAAGCCAGGGCATGTGAAGACAATACTGTGTTTTATGTGTGTTTGTGTAGCTTACTGAATCCAGCCATCTTTAAGTGACAATGTTTGCAAGGGAGGGACTGTATGAGTCAACACGGATGAGTCCATGACTCTATCTGTGGTCTGCTCGGGTCATTTTAAACCTGCAATTTCACAGATGTCCAGGAAACACGGTTCCCTGAATCTGGGATGAACAAATAGGGATGGGCTGAAGCATCGGGTAGGTGGGAAAGAGAGGAATAGTCTTCTTTTGACCTCACCTCTAGCCGCCCTGTCCTTCCCCCAGAACCACCAATGCCCCGCCCATTCTCCTTTGACCCCAAGTCTCCAAAGACAATCACTCTCTCCTAGAATCCGGTCCCGACAGGTTGTCTCAGAGCTTCCTTTCCCGCCTCTTTAGTCCGATTAGAGATGGTCCCTTCGAGCACCCTCTCAAGATTCACTTAAGAGTACCACGTGAGATCATCCTGAAAACGCCTACACAGAGAACCTCACTACCCCTCTCTCAGCCCCGCCCCTACAGCTCGCCTGCCCCGCCCCACTTGCTAGGCACCACGCTCACCTTAGAATACTTAAACTCCCGCCCAGGAGCCTGGCCTGGACTCCAGAGCCCCGCCTCATCCATAACCCATTAGTTTCCCCTGTTGTCACAGGCCCGTCTCAAGCCCTGCTTTAGCTTACGGTAGACGCCGTAGATCTCATACCCACGCCCACCCCATCAGGGGTCGCTGAGCTCCGCCCCTTGCCCCGCCCGAGCTCAAGCCCCGCCCCCAGGGGCTCACCGGCGTTGTAGAAGGAGTCGAGCGCCGCGGTGTCACCTAGAGCCAGCGTCGCGAAGGGCAGGCTGCGCAGCTGCGGGGGTGGCCGCGTGCCCTGGAGCTGAGCGCAGGCCTCGCGTAGGCATCGCAGCGGCAGCGGCTCTGCCTCGGTTTCCGCTCCGGGCTCAACCCCGGGCCCGGACTCCCGGGTCAGCACGTAGACCACACTGAGCGGCCGGCTCCGCGCGCAGCCCCGACCCGCGACCGCGGGGGACGAGCGGCCCCGGCTCAGTGCCTCTGCCAAAGGGTCCTGCCAGCAGCTGCCCGCGCGTTCTAGAACCCCGGCCCCGGGACACGGCCCCGCCATGCGGGGGCGCTCGGGCGCCGGACGCCGGGCGCGGGGGACCCGGGTCAGGGCACGACGCTGGGGATGTGGATCCAGCCGGGATCCGGAGATGGGCTGGACGTCCTGTTCCGGAAATCTGAAGTCCAGAGAGAAATCTTTGCTCAAACTTTCGCGGTCCTTTCAGATCTGCAGTACAGGACTGGGTTCTGGGAATCTGGGGTGCCCGATAATCCTCAGCTCACAGGTCACAGAAAGATCCTGGGAATTCACCCGGCAGTGTGCGACACCCAGACTTCTCAAGGGAGTTCTGGCAGTCACTGTGCAGTCCTCATATGTAGGCTGGGCCCAGCCCTTTCCCGACTGGGAAAGCTCCACCCTCGGCCCTGGGGCAATGCGGCTCCCCAGCGACTCTCCCTCCCTCCTCTCCCGCTAGAACCTCTGACACTGTCCACTTCCGGAACAGCCTGTGCCCCTATTCGGGCCAAACACTGTCGAATGCTCTCTGCAGGCGCTTATAAGATGTGTGACTCGGCCAGGGAGAGGGAACAAGAGGCCCCCACCCTACAGGGATCTGGTGAATTAATGGATCTGGGGACACGGAGGGGAGCAAACACTGTGGCTAGTAGGTGTCCCATGTAATGTTTATGCTGGTAGGTAGGGGGTTGACGTCCTGAACTTTGACAGGCTGCTTTCCCAAGGGTTTAACAGGTTGCTTTCCCCAGAGCCTTACTTGGTAGAGCCATATCTACCCAAAACTTGGCCACTTCCGCTGTAAACACCCTAGCTACTCTTTGAAGCTCCATCTTTGGGGGTCCCAGGAGCATCCCAGCTTCAAATTCACCAAGAGCCTTTAACTTCCTACTATGAATTAGTGACCAAGGAATGTGCTGGTATAAACCTGAACTTGGGAATTGGGGACTTTGGGAATCTGAGGTTGCATTCAAGTTTAGGACTAAGATTCTTAGAACCACATTGCTGCCATCATGTTTTATGGTGGTGTTTGTGGCTGGAGAGAGCTGTTCAAAGCGTTTGTTGCTCTTTCAGAGAACCCTAGTTTGGTTCCCAGCACCCACATGGTGGCTTACAACCTTATCTGTAACTGTATTCGAGGGGATCCCATGTACTCTCCTGACCTGAACAGACACTGCACACACATGATGCAATACATACTTGCAGGCAAAACACTCATACGCATAAAATAAATAAATCTAAAAACATTAAAAAAATAATACGCTGTGGCTTTGGACAAATTGACTGTTCAGCAAATGATAAGAAGCCTCTGTTTCACAGCTCTGTTGCCTCATGAAAGAAAAACATGTCTTCCTTGGTTTGAACCAATGGGATGGGCAAGAAGCAATTTAGAGAGAGAACTTGGCCCATTACAGACATTAGGGCAGAAAACACACTTCACAAGAAACAAATAGAAATCAGAAAGCCTTCAATCCCAGCACTCAGGGAGGCAGAGGCAGGGGGAATTTGAGGTCAGCCTGGTCTACAGAGTGAGTTCCAGGATAACCAGCACTAAACAGAGAAACCCTGGATCAAAAAACCAACCAACCAAACAGGAACCAGTGAAAGGGTGAGGAAAATGTGCAATTCCCGTGTAGGGCTTGAGGGCCAGGAGGACTGCCAGCTGATGCCTGAATCCGCAGTCTCACTGCTAGGTGCCCCTCTGTCCTTATCTTGCATCCTTCTGGGGACAGACATCCCGAGGAGGCTGCCCTTCCATCCTCCTTATTAGAAGTTCTTCCAGCCAGTCAGTGGTGGCACTCGCCTTTAATCTCAGAACTTGCGAGGCAGAGGCGGGCAGATATCTGTGAGATCAAGGCCAGCCTGGTCTACAGAGTGAACTCCAGGACAGTCAGGGCTACACAGAGAAACCCTGTCTTGAAAAAGCAAAACAAAACAAAACAACAAAACTTCTTCCTTGCATAGCACTGAAGCTAATGCCCCTGCTCTGCCTTCTGTGGGTTTTTCCCTAGTAAGAAAAAGGCCTGAAAGCCAGGAAAGGGTTACAGTGTGAGAGACGGTTGGCAATGAGGTGGTTAAGGGACGGAAGCTGTAAGGAGTGATAAGGGCACTGACAATTGGAGAACTCTAGCAAGCATCATGTAAACCCTGCAGGAGGGCTGGCCCATGCCTTTGCCTGAGGCCCAGTCATTGATGCTGTGTTTACAGGCAGTATCCATAGATGCAGCTTAGTGTCCAATAGCAGGATCTATACCACCAGGCTCCAGGGACAGTCACCGCCCAGTTGCCCTAACTTGAATCATGGTCTGCTTCATAGGTGGCAGAAGGCTTCCCATTGTGGAAGCTCAGAGAGTCCCCTGCAGGGAAGAGTGGGAGGCACCCTGGCACCCTACAGTATGCCTGTACCCTTAGAGATTATTACCCCAAGGCAGCCTCCAACCAGTGATGAGGTGGATATTCTCAGTCCCCATGAGACACCCGCAACAGCACCAGTGACCCAGTTTTGCTTGTCTGTTTGCCTATGGTCATTCAGCTACTAGGGGGAAGAGCAAACCCATTAGTTTGCTCCAAGTCTTATCCTCTCCAGAGTTCCCAGTTTCTCTCCAGCCTCTCTGTCTACTCTTACTCCCTGTTAACAGCCTGGGCAGCCATGCACCAGGGAGAGCTGGGAGGAACCTCTTGGGCCTTGACAGGAAAGGGGGCTCCCCAGAGGCACCTCCCATAACCACTTCCCCCTTTTGGACATCTCCCAGCACCCACTGGTTCTCTGAAAGACGTCTCTCTGGTTCCTGGAGCACAGAGTGTTGATGCACACAAACCTCAGATAGCAGCCCTACCCCCACCCGTGTCCCCACTCATTTCATACAAGGGGAAACTGAGGTTGTGGCTGGGAAAGGACTTGCCCGGAATCCCATAGGAAGCACTCTGATGTTTTTTTCTCCCTAGAGGAATTCCTAATTCTTTGCCTCCAGCACCATCTTGTTTCAAGACTGCCATTTCCCAGATGAGAAAAACCGAGGCGCACAGATGGGAAGAGGTCACCTAGCCTTTATTCATGTATACAGGGATAATATTGAGAAACAGCCTGCCTCCCTGTTCCCACTCCACAGCCCCCTGTAGGCCACTCGCCTGCAGCGCCCTCTAAGAACTTGCCAGCACCCACTGCCTTAGCCACCGAAGTCTTCCAGCTCTTCTTCCTGGGTACCTGGGAGGAAGAGGAGACTGAGGCCATAGGGATTGGGGCTTCCCTGCCCTCTTGCTGGAAACTCACTCTCCAGAGTCAGCTAGTGTAAATTCTCATTCTCCAGCCAGAACTCAGACTTCTGTCTCCCTAGACCTGACAGGACCAATCCTGTCGCACTTCTAGAATGCCTGTGCACCTGCTAGGACTCCAAATTGGCCTGGGACAGGGGAAACCAGGGGAGGTGGCAGCTGAGGCTGGGTGGATGTGGGGGCAGGAAGGAAACTTCTTTGCTCTTTGGACTGGGGACTTATGGCTCAAATGTGTCTCCTCCAAGTGAGCTTGGCCTGTGAATAGTGATAAACTCAGTTTCTTCGTTAACCTTTGTTGACACTCAACACATGACAAAATGTTGTAAGTCCCTGGGGAGATTGAAATGATAAAAATGTTGTCCTTATCCCTGTGAGATGGCTAGTCTTGCAGGAAGACAGGCCTAATAACCTGTTTAATTTGCTGTGATAAGAACTGAGGTGTTTGCCAGGCAGTGGGGGCACACACCTTTAGTCCCAGCATTCAGGAGGCAGAGTCAGGCGGATCTCTGTGAGTTCGAGACCAGCCTGGTCTACAAGAACTAGTTGCATGTTTCTCTGTGGAGAAACCCTGTCTCGGAAAAAAAGAAAAAGAAAAAGAAAAAAAGAACTGAGGTGTTTAAAGCATAGACATTACCACAGACGCCTAAGTTGGATTCCTGGCCTTTTCCTGTTGCTGTTTCTTTTTCCCGCAAGTCACTCAGTTCTCCAGCCCTAGAGTTTTCCTCTAAAATATCTTTCGAACAATGTGAGTCCAGTTCCATTGATGCTACTTCCCACAGTCTTCTGCCTTGTCCATTGTGTCTTCTATGGTACAGTCTGGCCTTTTGTTTTGTTTTTAGATTAAAAAATTCTGTGTATGGCGAGAGAAAGTAAGTGTGTGTGTGTGTGTGTGTTATCTGTGTACACATGAGTTCTGTTGTTAAGTGTTTAGGGGAGAGAGTGTTCATGTGTAGCATATGTATACATGTGAGTGCAAGTGTTATGTGTTTAGGGGAGAGAGAGTGTGTAGTGTATGTATACACATGAATGCAGGTGCCCAAGGAATCCAGAAGAGCATGTCAGGTCCCCTGGAGCTGGAGTTACAGGCAGATGAACCGCCCAGTATGGGTCCTCTGTATGGTCAGCGCTCTCTTTTAACCGTGGGGCCTTCTCTCCAGCCCCATGCCGCCTGTTATTGAGACAGGGTCTCACTGTACCCACCATGGGCCTCTAACTCCAGATACCCTGTGTTAGGATTACAGGCATGCACTACCATACCTACAGCTGATTTTTCCTTGCTTCCTTTCTCCCTTCCTCCTTCCTTCCTTCCTTCCTTCCTTCCCTCTTCAGCCTTTCTTTCTTTGAGACAGGGTTTCTCTATGTAGCCCTGGCTATCCTAGAACTCATAGAGATCCACCTGCCTCTGCCTCCTGAGAGCTGGGATTAAATGTATGTGCCACTGGGCCCTGACTTATTTTTCTAAAACTAAGTCTGACCTGACCTCTTTTCTCCTAAAATTCTTCCATGAATGCCCTCTTGCCCTCCACATCAGTAATGCAATGTCCTCTGTGAACTGGCCTTTGCAAAGGTCCTGGGTTCCTGTTTGTCTGTTGCTGAACAACACCTCCCCAACACCCTCAGTTTACTCCCATAACTCCTTAACCCTTCCATCCTCCCCCTTCCCTGTCTTGTTTCTACCTGTAACGTGCTCCCACACCTCATGTGCCCTGAGAACTTCCACAGAACCTTTAGAGTCCTTCTAAATGACACTTCCTCCATGAAGCCTTCTCAGACTTCTTCAGGCCCTGCAAGAGCTAGACAAGCACCTGTCCATGTAAGACATGCCTGCTTCAATGGACTTTGGCTCCCCCTAGGGAGACAGGGAGAGAAGTGACCACTGGGCTTTGCCTGTGTCCTTTTTTTCATTTATTTATTTGTTTGTTTATCTATTTATTTATTTTGCTGTGTTCTTTTTTTCTTCCCAACCAGCTACTCTCCGAAGTGTCCAGGTCTCAGAAGACTGGGAGAGCTTTGCCCTCTGGTAGACACAAATGGTACCATCCACTCAAGATGAGACCAGAACTCAGCAGTTCCTGGCAGCTCTTGGAACTGGAAAAAGGGACATAGATTGAGAAAGGCCCCAAGCTATTTCCCAGATCCTCCACCCAGATTCTGGAACAAGTAAGGGACCCAGCAGCCCTCTCAGATCCTGGGAGCTACTGAAGAGAGGTACTACAAAGGGCTTTGAGGAGAGACTCCGCCATGCCTGGAGCCTTCCCAACACCCCAGCTTGGCCTCGTTCCAGGTTCTTTGCTCCTATGAAGGTTTCCTCACCTCCTGCCACTGTAGCAGGCTTGCTGATGTCCTGCCCAGAGAAAAAGAATCAGGTGTCGACTCTGGGGTCTGAGCACCCTAATTGAGGCTCTGTGAGCCCGCAGTGGGGCAGAGCCAGCCCTACTCCAAATCCTCACCATTCCTTCCAACACTCACCCCTCCAGGGCACTTGCGGCCCTAAGTAGCAGAGAGGGCCCAGCCCTAGTCTGTGAACAAAGTGAGGTCAGAGGGTAGCCTCATGATCCCCACCCTGCCTGGTGGTCCAGGTGGCCCTGAAATCCCAGAAGCAGATGTCCTACGCCCCATGCTCAGGACAAAAAATAAAATAATAAAAAAAGAAACAGAATTTGGTGCCCCAATCAAATTGTTGCCCTTTTCTGGTTCTCTAATTGGGGACAAGAAGTTAGTCCTCTCTGAGCTTTACTGTCCTCTGCAGTAAAACATAGACAGTGTGACCTGCCTGGCACATCCCAGGATACTGGGCACATACCTATTTGGAGCCTGGCACAGAGGAGGCTCCTGCTGCTCTGTTGTGACTGCTCAATACAGACAGCAACTGCTGCACCTCAGTGTCTTAGTCATGTTCTGTTGCGAGGACACATCATGACCGTGCCAACTCTTACAGAGAAAGCATTTAACTAGGACCTGACTTACAATTTCAGACGTTTAGTCCATTTTCACCATAGTGGGGAGGATGGTGGCCTGCAGGCAGGCATGGTGCTGAAGAAGTAGTTGAGTTTTTTCCTTATCTGCAGGCAGAGACAGACAGACAGACAGACAGACTGACTGACAGACAGACTGACTGACTGACTGACAGACACAGAAAGACTGAGCCTGGCTGGCATGGACTTTTGAAACCTTTAAAGTCTGCCCCTCGTGGCACACTTCTTCCAACAAGGCCACACCTCTAATCCTTCTCAAGTAGTGCCATTTCCCGATGACTAAACATTTAAATATATGAGCCTATGGTGGCCATTCTTACTCAAACCACCACACCCAGGCACAGGACCTTCCCTGCCAGGTCCTTAGCATCCCTTACATTAGGTACCTGGAGCTCCCTTCTCCCCAGGACTTCCTGGGTTCTACGTGGAGACAGGGCCAGTGGGCACAGGGTGAACATGTCTCCTCCAGACTCTGCAATTCCTTCTACCCCCAGACTCTAGATGTTAAGGTATCTGCTTCCAGAGAGGATAAGGCCTTGAATATTTATATACTATTTACATATATTTGCATGAAAAGTCCAGGTTATCAAACTCTTGCCCTTCTTGGAATGAGGAGAGAATGAAGAGTGGGCTGATGTGAAGGGTACCTAAGCAGCTACCTGGGCAGTTGGGGTGACCCTGGGCCCTCAGGCAGGCAGCCCTTCAAACAGGAGAGCAAGAGCAGTAGGGCCCCTAGTAGGTCCGTTTTGTTGAGGCATCAGTGGGAGGTCCAGCTTATAAGGCCCAGGGTATGAGGGTGGGAACTTGAAGAGAGACTTCTTTCTATTGTCCCCCAGGACACTCCACCCAGACCAGAGCCAGCAGGATTTCCTCCCTCAGACCCCAGAGGATTGGCGTTGCCTCTCCCTGTCTATGCTCACATTCAGGGCACAGCAGCCATCTCTCCAGATCTCCTCACTGGTTCCTGTGGATTTCCCCCCAGTTGCTCAACTCACTCACACTTCCCAGCTAGAATTGTCTCCTTTATTCTCTACCTGAACAGCTTTGCCTCTCCGTGAAGGTCCAGTCCTTTTGCTGTCTCCACCACCTGGTCCTTGTCAACAATATTAATAGTGACCATTGTCACCTGTCACCATGCATGGGTTACCTGTTATACCTGCGTCACTCTTAGTCACCTGGGGGTGGGACAGTGTTCACTCGTGAATGTGGAGGCTAGAGGTCAGTGTTGGATGTCCTCCTCGGTCACTTTCTACCTTGCCTAAAAATTCATTCACAGGGACTGGAGGGATGGCTCTGAGGTTAAGAGGTCCTGAGTCCAATCCCAGCAACCACATAGTGCCTCACAATCATCTATAATGAGATATGGTAGCCTCTCGTTCTGGCATAAAGTTTCACATGCAGATAGGACACTCATAGACATAAAAATAAATGAATCTTTTAGAAATATTTTACTAACATTATCTATTAATTTATTTGAGACATGGTCTCTAAGTATGCAGCCCCAGCTGTCCTGGAACTCTCTCTGTAGACCAGGCTGGCCTTGAACTCAGAGATCCACCTGCCTCTGCCTCCTGAGTGCTGGGATTAAAAGTGTGTGCACTATACCGGGGTCAGGGCACACTTACCTTTTACGTGGGAGCAGAGGATCTAAACTTCAGCCTTTACGGTCACGCAGAACAGCAAGCACTTTGCTGACTTATTCATCTCCCCAGACTCTCATGCTCCTCCTTATCATGGATCCTGTTACAAAGTGGGTGCTTAGTAAACCCTGGACAAATGGGCAGGGATGAGGTTTATTACAGAGCACGTGCTTGGCATTCATGAGTCCTGGGGTTTGATCCCAGCATTTGCAAATGCACTCATGGGTACATATACATAAACAAGAGAGAAAAAAAGAGAGGCTCCGATCAGGCATGCTGGTGTAAGCCTTTAATGCCAGCACTGGTGAGGCAGAGGCTGGCAGACCTCTGTGAATTTGAGGCCAGCCTGGTTTACCAAGTTGAGTTCCAGGCCAAGGCCAGCCACGGCTACATAGAGAAACCCTGTCTCAAAAACAAAACAAAACAAAGCCACAGAGCTCAGAAATGAGCCGTGATTTTGTGGTACCACCGTTGCAGACCAAAGCCACAGATCTTCCAGCCAGTCCCTGGGCAACAAACCCCACCCCACCCAGAGAGAGAAGCACCCTAAGGGAAGGGACTGCTTGCTGCATTTTGAATCCCTTGGAGCCTTGGAACAGTGTTAGCATAGGCAAATCTGTGTGATCAGGTGCCTAGGGGCAATAGGCCTGGGCCAGCTGTCAGAGGTGAGGATGGAGCAGAGACAGAGCATGAAGTTATGGGGGAGAAGGGAGGGAATGAGGTCACTCACTCAGCAAACCCTCTGAGGACCTGTCCTAAGTCAGGCCCAGCATGGGTGGAGTTGGGATGGCTGAGGTGTCAGGAAAAGCTGAGCCTCTTTGCCTATGGGATGGATGGATCCCTGAGAGGGATGCCCTGAAATTCTAATATCCCACCTCTAGGGACCTGTCTTATCCAAGCCTTCCTACAGCAGTGCCAAGTTTTGCACACGGGCCTGTACATGACTCCTGACGAGTCAGTATGGAAATGACCCCAGCAGTCATTGATGGGATCCAGGCAAATAAATTATGACCATCTGGACAAGCCAAGGATGCATCCAATCTGTAAGGAAGTGGTGACTACAGAACAGCATGGACCTACTTTGTGCTACAAAAAAGCTAAACATGTGTGCATAGGTTGTAAATTCACAGAGAACTGTCTGAAATACACTGGAAACTGCAGTTATGTCCAGGGAGGGCCCAAGGGAAGGAGTGATTGTGATAAATACTGTGACCAGGGAAGCTTATAAAAACATTTAATTTGGGGGTTCATGGTTGCAGAGTCCATGATCACCATAGCAGGGAGCATGGCAGCAGACACACAGGTGTGTGGGCAGCAGTGGCCGAGAGTTCATATCTGATCTCCTGCAGGAGACAGAGAGCAGGAGCTAACTGAGAATGGCTTGGGATTTTGCAACCTCAAAGCCCATTCCCAGTGACTCACTTCCTCCAACAAGGCCACACCTCCTAATCCTTGCCAAATAGTTCCAACAACAGACCAAGCTTTCAAATATATGAGCCTAGAGGACCATTTTTTTTCCCGAGACAGGGTTTGCTCTGTAACTTTGGAAGCTATCCTGGAACTTGCTTTGTAGACTAGGCTGGCCTCGAACTCACAGAGATCATCCTGCCTCTGCCTCCTGAGTGCTGGGATTAAAGACATGCAGCACCACCACCCATCTCTAGGGGACTTCTCTTCTTCAAACCTCCTGTTCACTCCATTGTTTTGTTTTTGAGACCATGTCACTCTGTAACTTGGGCTGGTCTCAAACTCTCAGCATCTTCCCCAGCCTCCTGAGAACTCTGATTACGAGTATGCACCAGACCTTTCTTTATTTTTTTACATATATTTCTTTCTTTTTTTTGAGACAGGGTTTCTCTGTATTGTTTTGGAGATTGTCCTGGAACTTGCTCTGTAGACCAGGCTAGCCTCAAACTCACAGAGATCCTCCTGCCTCTATCTCCTGAGTACTAGGATTAAAGGTGTACGCCACCAACGCCCGGCTCATATATTTCTTTATTTGGGTGTGTGTGTGCCATATGACATTTGTGGAGGTCAGAGGGCAGCTGCGTAGGAATTGAACTCAGGCTTTTACCTTCTTTTTTTGTGGGGTGGGGTTGAGGCAGGGTTTCTCTGTGGCTTTGGAGGTTGTCCTGGAACTAGCTCTTGTAGACCAGGCTGGTCTCGAACTCACAAAGATCTGCCTGCTTCTACCTCCCAAGTTCTGGGATTATAGGCGTGTGCCACCACTGCCCAGCGAGGCTTTTACCTTCTGAGCCATCTTACTGGTCCCTATTTGTTTACTACTATCATTATTTTGACATATTTACAAGACAAGGTCTCATGTAGCCCAGGCTGGAGTTGAACTGATCTTCTGCCTGTATTACAGATGCACACAAGCACACCCAGCCCTACCTCCCACCAAGGTTTGTTGTTTGGGATTCTCCTCACTGTGTTTCCTGTCTTGCTTCTCCGTGGTCCATGGCAACAGCTGAAGTTGTGGGTACAATGGAGCAGAATGGATGTATAGAAGCAGACTATTCTTCTGTTTTCTACAAGCTGCATCAGGTCTGGGGCTCACACCTCCTTCCTGCCTAACCTATCTGTATGATTGACAGCACTGTTCCCAGCTCCGTGATCATCAGTGGTTTCAAATTTGCCAAGGTATCCATGCTTCATTACCACAGTTAGAGACCAGATGGTGACTTCAGAGCACAGCCTCACAAAGGTCTTCAGCCTTGTGGGTGACCTTAGAGCACCAGCCAGGGCATTCGAAGGTGTCATCACGGCAGCTTGGAAAGATGGAGGAAGGAGCCCGACTCCAACATTTTTTTCTTTAAGATTTTATTTTGTTTGTTTGGCTTTTGGTTTTTGAGAAAGGGTATCTCTGTGTAACAGCTCTGACTGTTCTGGAACTCACTCTGTAGACCAGGCTGACCTTGAACTCACAGCCTTCTTGGTGCTGGGATTAAAGGCGTGTACCACCACTGCACTGTTGTCCGGGAACTCATTCAATAATTTTAAAGAAAAAGTCAGAATTAGATAAAGGAGGCAGACACGGGAAAGCAAGCGTGTAGAGCGAGCTGAGGGAAGGACAATTGCTATGAGGAACCACAGATGCGAAGGTTTGGAGAAAGAAGAACGCAGGATGGCAGGAGGCAGGGATTCAGGGAGCTAGAGGACTGGCAAAGGGGAGGCTGGTGCCTGAGTGGATAGATGTGAGCCTTGCAGGGATGTGGAGGAAGTGGGTACAGGGGTGGACCCACGTGTGGCAGGTGAGCCCCAAGGCCAAGTAGCAGCTGGAACTACCTGTGGATCCCCGGTTCCTGTGAGGCTCTTCAGCTTCAGTCAGAGACTCCCCATGGGAGCATGGTGGGGTTGGGCAGGGCAAAGATTGCAGGCTGCATTCCTGAAGGGTGTCTGGGTGCTCTGGAGAGGAATGGGTCATGTCCGCCTTTCCACATTCAACCAAGGTGTCACCCCACTTTACAGATAAGGAACTGAGGCCCGGAGCCGTGACAGCACGGGCTGAGCTTGCAAGCTCCAGCACAGCTGGGACGGAATGTTCTAAGTCAGTCCCGAATACAGGCCTGGCAGCAAGAACAGTGCCAGGAGTGTCAGTCTCGAGCTTGCCAGAGAGTCCCAAGAGTCCCGCCTGTCGCCACCCCCACCTCACCCCTGGCTTTGGGGCAGACGCTTAATTTTAGGGACTGAGAGAGCAGCAGATGCTTCCAGAAAGGAATCATGGTGTTCTGTTCACCCTAGAGTCAGAAATCTGAGACTCCAAACCCAGCCTAGCCTCTCCAGTGGTGCCACTCAGCAGTAGCAACATCCAGGGCATCATCATGAGTGAGCACTTACCTGGCTGGTGTCCATACTCTTTCTAGAAGAGGGTCAGAAATACCACAGAGGGCTGGGGAGGTACTCGGTGGGGAAGAGCCACTGCTGTGTAAACATGAGTTCCTGAATTTGAACCCCCGACCAGCTAGCCAAAATGTCAAACTTCCAGTTCAGTGAGACACCCGCCTTATAGCAATAAGAGGGAAAACAACGAAGGGAGAAACCCAACCTCCTTCCCTGGCTTCTATACTCACACAGGGTGAATGCTCTGTGTGCTCACATGTACTACACACAGATAGATTACACATATACATATGCTACACACACCCCACACAGATGTACTACACACGCCCCACACAGATGCACTACACACACACCCCACACAGATACACTACACACACACCCCACACAGATACACTACACACACACACCCCACACAGATACACTACACACACACACACCCCACACAGATACACTACACACACACCCCCCACACAGATACACTACACACACACACCCCACACAGACACACTACACACACACACCCCACACAGATACACTACACACATATGCTACACACACACACACACACACCACAGATACACTACACCCCCATACACAGATACACTACACACATATGCTACACACACACACACACCACAAAGTTACAATACACACACAGCACAGATACTCTACACACACAGTTGTACTAGACACACACACCACAAATACACACGTATAAAAATAAGATTAACCTGAGAAAAGCTATCCCAGATGCAATTCCTTGTTGTGATGATTTTTATTTTTGAGATGGGGTCTCATGTGATTCAGACTGGTCTTGCACTCAGTTGCTTGAATCCTCACTGCAATTGATGATGACCTTGAACTCCTGGTCCTAATTCTACCTACCAAATGCTGAAGTGACAGGTATGTGTCACAATGCCTGGCTTGAAAATAAAAAAAAATTGAGGCCTTATGTAGCCAAAGCTATCCTAGAACTTACTACATAGCTGTGGCCGGCCTTGAACTCCTGATCCCGAGTGCTAGATATATACCACCACACCTGACTCCTGGTACCTAGCTTGGAAGTATCTTTTTTTAAAGTTTGTCTTTATTTTTACTGATGTGCATGTGTGTGTCCAGGTAGATACACACAAATGCAGGTGCCTGCAGAGACCAGAAGTGTGTGATCGCTCTGGAGCAGGAGTTACACACAGCTGTGATCGCTCTGGAGCAGGAGTTACACAAGCTGTGATCGCTCTGTGAGCTGTTCAGCATGAGTGCTGGGCATTCAGCTAGGGTCCTCTTCAAGAAAAGTGCATGGGCAGTGGTGGTGCACACCTTTAATCCCAGCACTCTGGAGGCAGAGGATGAGGCAGAGGCAGGAATATCTCTGTGAGTTCGAAGCCAGCCTGGTATACAGAGTGAGTTCCAGGACAACCAGAGAAACCCTGTCTGAAGAAAATCAAAGAAAAAGAGCAATGCGTGATCTTAACTGCAGAGCCATCTTCCCAATCCCTAAAATACTTTTTAATTTAAATATTTTAAAAATCTACTTGGGGGGTAGGCACATGCCACAGTGCACATGTGTCGCTGTCAGAGGATAACTTGCAGGAGTCAGTTCTCTCCTTCTATTGGGTGGGTTCCAGGGATTGAACTCGGGTGTTAGGATCACACAGTAAGCTCCTTTACCCACTGGGCCATCTTGCTGCCCTCCCACAGTTCTTAAAGGGAGACAACGGTACTAGACAGAAATCCCTCCCTCACCCCATCCAATTCACATACAGGCTAAGACATGGCCAGGAATCATGGGTGGAAAACAGGTCTTTTATTTGGGGGTGGATCCCAGACTGGGTTGGTGAGAAGCTGCAGACATCAAGTACCAGGCTGCGGCCCAGCTGACTGCATGAGCCATGAAGTGGTTGAAGGATGCTCCCAGATACAGGTGCCAGTCCCAGGACAGGAAAGAATGTCAGCCACCAGCCCTAAACCTGCTCGGTGCCCTGTGCCTACGGGGACCAGAAACTGGTGGCCAAAGTGTGTCCCACCCCTAGTGCCCGTAAGGCCATCGAGAGGGTGGCCTCTGGGTCCTCTGTTCTTTCAAGGTGGAGCCAGGACCACTGGGGTCAGATTCTGTGGAGGCCAGACAGAGAGAACACTCAGGGGTGAGGACCCCCCACCCCACTTCCCAGGGAGCAGGCACAGCTGGAAGAGTAAATGCAGGCTGTAATGCAGGCTGCGTAACTGGCCCCACAGCACACACAGCAGGCACACAGAAACCTGGCCCAGCCCCTTCCTCAGAGAAAACCACACTGTGCACACGGCCCTGGCAGCTGCAGCCATGGATGGCTGTGGGTTGAGGACTGGCCTGGGGCTGTCACCTACTGGTTCTCTTCCCTGCTGGCAGCATGAGGAGACAAAGACACAAAGGCTCAGCTGGACCCTCAGACATGGAACTCTGAAGGCTGAGTCCCGGTCCCACCCAACATCTAGCAGGGGAACCTCAGCTAGAGAAAGAAGGGGTATTGCATCCCATGGAGGATGCTGGGAGGGTAGTCATTGTCTTTAGGACCACCCCATAGAGAAACACTGCCGGGTTGCCAAGCAGGAGGGAGTCGGGAAGGCAGCTGGGCCCTGCTGCTGGCCTTGTACTCACAGTGTCTGGTAAGTGCTGTCCTTGGCCTTGAGGAAGCGCACCACAAAGAAGGCAGTTGCTTGCAGACTCAGCACCAGCACAACGCCCCCGATGAAGCTGGCTCCGTCAAAACCTGGGCTGTGGGCTTCAGGGGCTGGGGGAGTCCCTGCAGGGTGAGGCAGGGTAGAGGTTACAACAGGCCACCGTGGAGCCAGATCCCACAGCTGACACCTTGAGGCTTCCTTTAATCCCCAAGAATGGGCCCTTACTACCAGGCTCTGAAGTCCAGTTGAGGGATTGGAGTGTAGCTCAGTGGTGGTCCCTTGCCTAACTTGTCTAGTGAGGCCATAGGTTCGACACACACACACACACACACACACACACACACACACACACACACACACACACACACAGTGGGGAGGTCAGTCCATCTTGGACTCTTCAAACCCTGCAAGCTGGTGGAAGGGATAGTTGAGGCTGGGAAGGGTGGACCTTGTCCAGCCCTGTTCCTGGGTGGCCCCATACCTTTGTGTCACACACACCCTCACCAGGCCTCCTGGTCACATGGAACTAACAGTGATCAAGTGCTCCTGCACCCTTCCTGCCCCTCTGTAGCCCAGTAGAGGAAGGATGGACCTGGGACTCAGTCACCAGACCTCCTTCAGCTAAGGGCACCGGGCTTGGAGCACAGATAAAATGGCACAGAGTCCTTCAGGACTTCTAGCCTAGAGTCCCCACCAAGAGAGGAAGGAACAGAGGGGAGGTGGAAGCCCAGGCCCAGCACCCTACAGAGGCAAGTGAAGACCAAACAATGGGCCAGGCCTCCCCTGACCCCTTCCCCTGCCCTTCGCCCTTGGCAGGAAAGGCCTTAGCACTGAGATACTAGTCCAGGCTTCAGTAGCTACCAGTTGGACCACATTACCATCAGTTCCCACCAGGGATTTGATTTCAGGCCCTGGGCCAGGTGCCCAGGGCAGGAAAACACTGCTAAGTGGAAGATCATTCTGGGACAATGGACAAGGGGCCAAACTGGGAACAGGGTCTCCTTCCCAGAGGACATGGACAGTGCAGAGTCTAAGGACACAGAGTCGGAAGGACGGCCCTGCTGTGGCTGCAGCTGGGAGCTGCAGAGGATGCTGGGGAAGAGAGCTGGGCACGGCAGATCAGGGCTCAAGCCGAGGGAGCTGAACCATCAATAATTTACTCTTTAAGATCAGTTTCCGGCTTTAATTAACCAAGAGCCTCTTCAGCCATCCTGGCTAAGTTTAGTGGCCTCCAGGCCTCGGAGGGGGAGTGGGGACCTAGAGGCAGATTGGGGTTCCTCCCCTGCTCTGCTGGGAGCCCACTTTGGGGCCCTCAGCTTGCAGCAGGTGCTCACTGCAGGCATCTCTTAGCAACTGGAGCCACACCTCCTCAGCTCCAAGCACGGATCCGGAGGGGTCACCCTGAGTTCCCAGAACCGGTGACAAAGCTGCCATTTCCTGAGAGCTTTGGATGCAGATGCATCAGGCAGCGGAGTGGGCCTTACACAGCCTCATAAATCCTCGAGGCACTGTGAGGCTAGGGTCCGTCCTTGCCTTCAGGTGTAGGGAACTCAGAGGACTGAGGTCACGGAGTATGTCAGTCAGTGCCTGTGACCATGCTGCCTTTCCCTTCTGCCACTGCCCTACCACCATTCCCCGGGGACGACCCTACCTGTTGTGCTCATCTCTGGTTCACGGGTGGGATGGTGGTGGGAAGCTGAGGAGACAGGGGATCCAAGATGAACCGGCTCTCTCCTATTAGGAACCTAGCCTGGGTCAGTAGCTGGACCCACCTCCCACTCAGTGGGAGCACACCCCCTCCCCCTCCACTCACGACTAGTCACCCCGCCCCCTCCTCTGTACCATCTCTGTCTGATGCCACTTGCTTCAGGAAGATCCCTCCATCCCAAAGACCTCGCTGTGCCTTACTTCACACAGTGCTAGCTCCCCTTACCCCTGGACACACCTGGGTCAATTTATAGCTAGGACACCAGGCAAGGCAGGGTACAATTGTTTGTGGACAAGCACCCAGCTGTTCGTGGATGCAGCCCACTCCCTGAGCCAAGTTAGTACCTCCCGGAAGCAGGCTGTGGCTGGGGTCACCTCACTCCCCTCCCTTCACGTCGGCTTAGAGTGATCTCCCTTACCTGGGCACGACTCTGAACGGTTGTAGAGAGAGCAACCCTCTTTGAGCACCTCAGCTTGGGCCACACAATGCCCTGGTGGAAGAAGGAGCAGGGAAGAGGTCTGAGGAGAAAGCTGGGGGGGGGGTACAGACGGGAGGATGAATTCCGGGAGGACCCAACTACAAACCTGGCTCGTCTGGCCCACATTGCTGCCAGACGCAGATGGAGAGGTTGTGGGCTCTGTCCACACAGCGTTCACAATGTCGCAGGTGGTTGCAGCCCCCTTGGGCAGTAGGCCAGATGTTCAGGCGGATCAAGGCTCCCCTCCCAAAGCCTCGCGCCCCTTTACCTGAGAGAGGGGGTGGGAATGGGAAGGAAGCCAGGTACCAAGCTGCAGCACCTCCTCCACGACAGCGGCTCCCGCCCCTTACTCTCTCCAGACCCCCAAAACTTCCTTTACCTACTCCCGAAGTTCCCAAGGGCGTTTGGAGTCACCTCCTCCAGACACCCACCTACGTCTCCTAGAACCTATGGTTTTAACACACTCCTGGAGCCCTGCAGACATCGGAAAAGTTCCCTCCTCCAAGCCTATACGTGCAGAAACAGGAAGCTAAAGGGAAGTGCCTGTCCCACCTGCCCCTGCCTTGCCCCCTAGTCAGATTCTGCCCAGCGTTACCAGCTATAACCAGCTGGGCACACAGGAGGAGGCAACCGCCGCAGAGAGCAGCACGCAAGACGCGGGGTCCGGGTGCGGCCATGGGCGCGGGGCTGGGACGGCTGGTGTGGCACGTCCTTTCTTGACGCCACTCGCCCGAGCTTGCCAGAGTGAGACCTGGGCAACGGGGGCGTGGTCAGGCCGGGGCGTGGTTAGTGGGTGTGACCGGTAGGAGGGTTCAGGGAGAGCTTGGCTCTGCAAGCAGAGTCAGAGAAGACCCAGCCAGAGAAGAGGGGATCTTGTGGTGGGCGATTTGGGGCGGGGCTTAATAAGAGGGGTGGGGCTCCGCCGGGTCACGGAAGGCAGCCGAGCAATGGTGGCACATGAATTTAATTCCCCAGCACTTCGGAGGCAGAGGCAAGCAGATCTCTTGAGTTCGAAGCCAGCTTGGTCTACAGGGAGAGTTACAAGACAGGCTCCAAAGCTATAGAGAAATCCTGTCTCGAAAAACAAACAACAATAAAAGAAAGAAGTACAGATAGATGCTCAACTGACTGTTGTGGCACACTCCTTAATCCCAGCATTTGAGAGGCAGAGGCAGGTGGATCTCTGTGAGACTAGGCCAGGGTTGCCAGCATAGCAACTGTGTTTTGGTGAGTTTTTTTGGTTGTTGTTTTTGTTTTGGGTTTTGTTTTTGTTTTTTTGTTTTTTGTTTTGGCTTTTCAGGACAGGGTTTCTGTGTAGTTTGGTGAGTTTTTAGGGGACCACTGTGTAACCCTGGCTGTCCCAGAACTCACTATTGTAGACCAGGGCTGGGATTAAAGGTGTATGCCACTGTCTAGAGACTGTTGTTAATCCTGCTTCACAGGTGAGGTTTGGAATAGGTTAGTGACGAGTCTGAATCCACAATGGTAAAATCTGGACTTGATTCAGGCCAGACCATATAGCATACGCACTTTGGCTGCTTTTGGTTTTGTTTTGTTTTTTTGTTTTGTTTGGTTTTGGTTTTGGTTTTTTGTTTTCTCGACACAGAGTTTCTCTGTATTGCTTTGGAGTCTGTCCTGGAACTCACTCTGTAGACCAGGCTGGTCTTGAACTCACAGAGATCCGCCTGCCTCTGCCTCCCAAGTGCTGGGATTAAAGGCGTGCGCCACCTACGCCCGGCTCACACTCTGGCATTTTGAAGGATGAGCCAGGACTCAGCTACCCCTCAGCTTTGGCTGCCCATTCTCGGTCACGGTGTTGTGTTCTTTCTCCCGTCCTCACATCTCTAGGTCAAAGGTGGCACTATTGCTAGATCACTGGGCCTTTGGGGATCTTCCTCATGACTCTCTCCTGTCCTGTTCTCTGTAGTCATTTCTCAGTCCCTTTTCAGGGAGCCTCTCCTCCTCCCCCACTCCTCCTCAATCACTGTGGCTGTCTTAGGCCAGTGCCTGAGTCTGTCCTCTCCTGGGATCATCTGGGTTCTTCTTCTGTGGTCACACCTCCCCTTAAACACCAGCGTGTAGGGCTAGGGATGTGACTCACTTTGTAGAATGCTTGTCTAGTGTGCATGAAGTCCCAGGCTGGGTCCCCAGCACTGCACAAAATAGATCGGTAGTCCATGAGTGTAATCCCAGAATTTGGGCTGTGACAACAAAAGGATCAGAAGGTCAAGACCATCCTCCGCTACAGAGGGAGTTAGAGGCCAGCCTAGCTAAAGACCTCTGCCTTAAAAAGGGCAGGGCTAACCACACATAGGGCCACTTGTCTTCAATCCCAGCACTCTGAAGATAGAGGTAGTCAGATCTCTGTGAGTCTGAGAACAGCCTGATTACTACATAAAAAGTTCCAGGACAGCCCGGGTAACATAAAGAGACCCTGTCTCAAAACAAAACAACACACACACAAGGCGGGGTACTAGAGAGATGTTGAGGTAATAAGAGCATTGGTTACTCTTCCAGAGGACCTGGCTTTGATTCCCAGCACCACATGGTGACTTACAACCATCTATAACTCTAGTTCCAGGGAATCCAGTGCCCTCTTCTGGCCTCCACAGGCACCAGGCATGAAAGTGGTGCACATACATACATTCAGGCAAACTATCCACCCATATATATATATATATCAAAGGAGAACATATCTGCCACCCTGTCACTTGGGAGGCTGGGGCAGGAGGATTGTGGGTTTTAAGTCAACTTGGGCTACATCACAAGACCCTAATCAAAGGTGGGGTGGGGGGGCTGGAGATGTAGTTCAACAATAAACCACTTGCTTAAAATTGCATGGCCCTGAATTTGAACCTCACAACAACAATAACCAACAAATCTCTAGTCTCTACCTTCATACCAGTCCTGCTATGGCTCTACCACACCTATGAAAAACAGCTTGAAAAATTAGTGACACCCTTTTTAATTAAAAATTTTGTTTTAGGGGTACAAGTATTAAATCTACATTTGTGTCTGTGTGCCCATGTATGTTTGTGTACCATGTGCATGCCTGGTGCCCTCAGAGGGCAGACAGGGGTATTGGATCCTCTAGAACTAGAGTTATAAAAGGTGAACCAGGCCAGATGGTCATAGTGCAAGCCTTTAATACCAGCCCTTGGAGGGCAGAGGCAAGTGGATCTCTGGGAGTTTGAGGCCAGCCTGGTCTATAGAGTGAGTTCCAGGACAGCCAGGGCCACATAAAGAGACTCTGCTCAAAACAACAACAACAAAATTAATAAAAGGCTGTGTGCTTCTGTGAGGTTGCTGGGGATCGAACCTCAGTCCTCCTCAGGAAGGACAACCACAACTCTAAACCACTGAACCATCGCTCCAGCCCTGGTAGCCCTTTCTTACCAACAATATGTAAAATAAAATTCTTTTTGTTGTTGTTGTTGTTGTCTTTTTCAAGACAGGGTTTCTCTGTATTGTTTTGGAAGCTGTCCTGGTACTCACTCTGTAGACCAGGCTGGCTTCAAACTCACAGAGATCCACCTGCCTTTGCCTCCTGAGTGCTGGGATTAAAGGCGTGTGCCACCAACACCCAGCTGTAAAATAAATTCTAATCAGAGCTACTAAGCTAATGCCCCATGGCATGGGCTGTGTCATTTTCAGTTGGCAGCTTCTCAGGGGAAGTTACAACTCAGCGGGGCCTCCTGGGGGTGGGGATGTCCCTGTCTCCTGTGCACCTCCACCTGAGTGTCGTTAGGCCTCTGTCTCCTGTCCTCCACACAGGAGAGCCCTATGCTCTCTGCCCTTCTTACTGCCACCAATCACCCAGGTTGGATCTCACTACTGCTTTACCCCATCCTTGCCCCCAGCTGAAATCCTTAGACTCCATCTCCCCATGTCTCCTGGGCCCTGCCCTATGGTCCCTCCCTGAGCTGGCCCTCACACAGATATCCACATCTCTCTCAGTTAGCCCCTTGTCATCATGACTTGTCCTCCATAGGGAACCCTTGAACTCCTGACTTGGTGTATCTTGCTTGTCTCAAGCTTTGCCCAATCTGGTCTCACTTCTTCGATAGCAAGGCGTTCTCCTTGCCTTTATCCAAGCTCTCTACCCTTGGTTCCATGTGTCTAGCTAAGTGAGCCACCACTGAGAATGGTTCTTGGAGAAGAACCACCCAGATCCTACCACCCCCTCAAGCCACCAGAGCCTTCCAGTTCATGGCTGTCCATCACCCGCCGGAGTCTCCTGATGCCTTCTGGGCTCAGCCTGTGCTCACTTGGCTTCTCTGTTCATCCAGCCTCCCCTCTGGTCCTCATACTCTTGCCCTCCTGGGGGACTGGCTACTTGCTGTGCCCCGTCATGGAAAGTCAACCTCATCTGTTCCCTCTTCAAGTGACTCATTTCCTAATCTCGCTACTGAAAAGGTCTCTCCAGTTATTCTATGTGCCAGCACCTGCTTGGCTTTGGAGCGTGTATCCAATGCATAATTAACTGCCCATTTGTCTCCTGGTCTACATCATTCTCCACAACGACAGAGCCATGACTTTCTTCTTCCCGGGCAACCCCCCTGCACACAGGAGAAAGTAGATGCTAATTAGCTCTCCTGTCCCATTGTCTGTGTGCATGTGTGCCCAGCCCGCTGCTCTGTGAGACCCTCAAGGAACCCTCATGTACCTGATGTCATATTCGGCCTCTCTTTGTGCACTGTCCGTTTCTGTCTGTTAAGATAGGAATTCTTGGAAGAAGGCAATGGTCTTTGTTCACTGCAGTATTTTTCTCTGGGTCTGTCAAATAGCAAATACTCAATGTAAATGAAGGTGGAAAACACAGGAGTATGGCCTGAGTATTCCCTGTCCTCCACCCCACCCCCAGACCCCAGCACTGGACCTGGGTTCAATTCCTAACGCCTACAGCTCAGAGCCTGCAATAGCTCCAGTTCTAAAGGATCTGATGCCCTCTTAATGCCTCAGAGGGTACCAGACTCGGTGTGTGTGTGTGTGTGTGTGTGTGTGTGTGTGTGTGTGTGTGTGTGTGTAACCATCCAGTCTCTGAATTTTGGACAATGCCAGAATGGAGACTGACTTTCTGTGATTCTCAAACATACATGGGCAGACACACACGTCCCTCTCTTTGGATTTAAGGCAAAGATCCCCGGGTTGGTAGAGAAGACAGAAGTAAGGAAAGCTTCACCGGGGTCTGCATGTGTCAGTTCACATGGTAGAATGCTTGTTTAGCATGTAAGCAGCCTGGATTTGGTCCCCTGCACCACATGAAACCATGTGTGGAGGTGCCTGCCTGTAATACCAGAACTCTGGAGGTGAAGGAGGAAGATTAAAAGTTCAAGTCTGAGGTCAGCCTTGGATATTAAATAAAATAAAATAAAATAAAATAAAGGTTTCACCTGGACAGGGAAGCTCATAGCCATCTGGTGGCTACCTGAGGAACTGCAGGTTTGTCAGTGAGATGACTTCACTCAGCCCCTTTTTGGGAGAGGGTGAGTGGGAAGCATCTTGGACTTGGTCATTGATTCACAGCCCAGTTCTGCTACTCACATTGTGATTTTGGGTGAGTTTCTTGGCTTCTATGAAACGTAGGCTCTGTCCCTTAACTTTGTAGGATTGCTGGTTGGAAAGATGGGCACATGAGTTGGTGGTGGGGAAGTAGGAGATGGGAGGAAGAAGGGCTGCCCTTCCCCCGGAGAGAGAGGTCTCAGGGCGGAGAGAGCACTTAAGAGCGACCTTAGCTGGGTGTGGTGGCTCAGCAATAACTCCAGCTGAGGAGGATTCCCACAAGTCTGAGTCTGCTCTACAGGATGGCGTGCACACGCACATGCACACACATGCACGCACGCACGCACGCGCACGCACACACACACACACACACTTTGGTGCCTGAGAGAGCACACATGTGGAAATCAATTGCACCACTCAATCTTTGAGTCTCCAAGTGGTCTCAAGTTAGAAACACCCTCACACTTTCCCTCCCTGGCAGTCAGAAAGGCAACTTTCACCATAAAGTCCGCAGTGACATGCAAATGAGGAAGTTCATGGCCATCTGCCTTCTTCCGCAGAAACAAATGGTCGTTAATGTCTACACTCTGGGATAACTGTCACTAAGACAGAAATTTGAAGACAACTAGCCCAAATGTCCAAGACCACACAGGATGTCATCTTCATATTTGGATTCAGAACCAATTTTGGTGGCAGGGTTTTGGGGACACTGGGGGACACAGCTTGCTTGGGTGAAGGTCATGATTATTCTATAAAGAAAGATTAATTCAAACATAAATTGCAGGATATGGCCTGTATGAACCAAAGATTTAAAAAAAAACAGCTGGGAGCCGGGCGGTGGTGGCGCACGCCTTTAATCCCAGCACTCGGGAGGCAGAGGCAGGCGGATCTTTGTGCGTTCGAGGCCAGGCTGGACCGATAGCCTCTGAAACAATACAGAGAAACCCTGTCTTGTAAAGACCAAAAAAAAAAAAAAACAGCTGGGGTGGGGCTGGAGAGTGGTTAAGAGCACTGGCTGCTCTTCCTGAGGTCATGAGTTCAATTCCTGGCAACCACATGGTGGTTCACAACCACCTTGAATGAGGTCTGGTGCCCTCTGCTGGCCTACAGAGCACATGCAAACATAAGACAGTATACATAATAAATAAAATCTTAAGAAAAAAAAAAAACAGGGGCTGGAGAGATGGCTCAGAGTTTAAGAGCACTGACTGCTCTTCCAGAGGTCCTGAGTTCAATTCCCAGCAACCACATGGTGTCTCACAACCATCTACAATTCAATCTGGTGCATGCCTCATCTGGCATGTAGACAAACTGTATCTGTAATAAATAAATAAATCTTAAAAAAAAAAAAAGAAAAAAACAGCTAGGGTTGGGGATGGTGGGGGCAAGGATAGGATGGGGATGGGAGGAGACAGGCTCTAGAGAAATAGCTCAACAGTTATAAATAAACACTTATATATATGTTCTTCTATAAGACCCAACACTCACTCTGGGCAGCTCCAAGGGTTGTGATACTATCTTCTGGTCCCTTTGAGTACCTATGCATACACTCAACCTAGAAACACATGCATATGCATAAATAAAAACAACAATCTTGGCTGAGCGTTGGTGGCACATGTCTTTAATCCTAGCAATCGGGAGACAGAGAAAGGCGAATCTCTGTGAGTTCAAGGCCAGCCTGGTCAACAGAGTGAGTTCCAGGACAGCCTCCAGAACAATACAGAGAAACCCTGTCTCAAAAAAAACAAAAAACAAAAACCAACAATCTTTTTAATACAACTTTTCTCTGTGTAGCCCTGGATGTCCTGAAACTGTCTCTATAGACCAGGCTGGTCTAGAACTCAGCCTCTGCCTCCAAAGTGCTTGGGATTAAAGGTCTGTGTCACCACTGCCCAGCAGCAAAAAAATATTTAAAAAAAGAAAATATCAACTGGAGAGATGGCTCAGTGTTTAAGAGCACTGGCTGCCCTTCCGGAGGACCTGGGATCAATTCTCAACACCCACATGGCAGCTCACCACTGTCTGTAACTCCAGTTCCAGAGGATCTGATAGCCTCACATAGACTTACATGCAAGAAAAACACCAATGTGCATGAAATAAAGGTAAGTTAAAAAAAGTATTAAAAAAAAAAGAAAGGAAACAGCTGTAGGGACAGATGGACAAAATAAGAATTCAAAGGCCAGTGTTGGAGTGACAACAGGACATCTTTGAAGACGTCACCTGCAGTGATAGGATCTCAGGATGACCTTTGCCTCCCACGCGCTGAGATTCTGAGTGTGTGCCCCGTACCTGGTAACTGGTTCTCCCAGCACACCAGTGAGCTTCCAAACAGCCATCCAGAAGGGCAGGTGTCTCTCATACGCCACTTTCTTTCATCCCAATGCCACCTCGTTCCTGCCCCCTTCTGAGACCCAAGTCTCGGGTACTCTCTTCTCTCAGGACACACCCCTACTATCACTCTCCTGGTCTCTCTCTGTCATTTTTTTAGATATTTATTATTTTACCTATATATGAGTGAGTTTTTTGTTTGTTTAGTTTTGGTTTTTCATGATAGTTTCTCTGTGTAGCCTTGGCTCTCCTAGAACTCAATCTGTAGACCAGGCTGTCATTGAACTCACAGAGATCCACCTGCCTCTGCCTCTCGAGTGCTGTAATTAAAGAGATGCACCACCACCACCTGGAAAATGATTTTCGGTGTTGCTGTTGTTTGTTTGTTTGTTTGGTTTTTGACAGGATTTCTCTGTGACTTTGGAAGCTGTCCCGGAACTTGCTTTGTAGACCAGACCGGTCTCGACTCACAGAGATCCACCTGCCTCTGCTTCCTAAGTGCTGGGATCAAAGGCGTGCACTACCATGCCTGGCTCTGAGTATTTTGTTTTAAGAGTCCTGAATGCCCTAAAACCTAAGGAACAGAGGAGGGGAGGGGCAGGGACAGGGTTAGCTGGCCATCTGTGATAGGGGTCAGGGAGCCTGTTTGGGAAGGAGTGGCTAAAAGCCACACTCTAGAGGAAGCCAGCCATGCAAAGAGCCTACAACAGGAGAGTCTCGTCTAGCTGGTCCCTCAAAGGCAGAGCTTCCTGTCACCACTCTTCATTGTATTCTTCCTTTTTAAAAAGTTTAATTAATTAATTTTTAACACTTCATTTTCTTATTGCCCATCTATGCTTCTCTGGGGTCCTCCACTGACCAAATATACCACTGACAGCCAATACATAGCCAGTGCTCATAATGGACCCAACGCCTCCTAACAGTCCCCAGTGGGCACTGATGTCACTATTTTAGAAGTGAAGAACACAGGCTCAGCCTGGGAAACTCAGTCACACACGAAATGAGAGGGATTAGGGTTCGAAGCTTGCTTGTCTATTCCTACCGGCTGAACTCACCGTATTCGACCCAAAATGTGCCTTTCTCCTCAGCCCTGGTTCTGTAACGGTGTGCTGTTTTTCCCTGCCTCTCGGCCTCCCTTTCCTCAGCCTCACACCCTAACCTGACTCCTATCACCATCCTATAGTTTTGAATGTTCCAGAAAGGATCAAAGAGAGAGGGGGCAGGACTGGTACTGGGGTCAGGAGAGTTACTAATGGGGCGTTTTCCTAGGCACGGGGCAGGTAGGGTTGGGGAAGAAGTGTTCCCCCTGCCCCACCCCTGGGGTACCTAAGCTGGGCGCTCTCAGAGGCTGCTCTGAGCATGGAGCTGCCCAGTCCTTCTGTTTCCAAGTTCTTCCCGGCTCCCTATCTCCCGCTGCTTCGGGGAAGTGACCCCCCCACCTCGACCTCCCCGCTCTGGCTTTCCAGATCCTTGAATAAATAATTCAGATTTTGAAATCTTGCCAGGCACACCCTCCCGTGCTGCGAGGACGCTATTGGCCTACATAAGTGACGTCACCGAGCTCCTTATCCCAAGCCCAGCATCACGGGACCCGTCCTGGCAGCAACTTCCCTGCTGGGTCACCGTCCAGTCAGACCCCTACCCTGCTCCCTCACTCGGGGCCACCGCATGCCGTTCGATCTTCATCCCGGGACCCCACAGTCCTCGCTTCGCTCTGTCACCTCAGTCCTTCATCCCTTGACAGGGTCACAGTGACCTGAAGTTCTTTCTCCCGAATGCTCATCTCCAAAGCATTGTCACCACCTCTGAGACCCTGGGGTCCCCGAGCTTCATCAAGCTGTAGTCATTGCTGACAGTGCTGCCCTAAGAGCCCTATCCTTCCCCCACCGTCAACGTCCCACAGCCACCGTCCTCCAAGATCCTGTCACCACGCTCATACCGTCACAGCCACCCACCTCTCTCATGCTGCTGTCACTGTCACCCCGGGGCCCTATCAGAGGCAAAGCCTGTCATCCTCACCGGGGACGCCCATTCAGCCCCATCACCTGTCTTATGTCAGCTAATTTCTGACACCCGAGGGTGCTCGTCACCCCCGCAGGCTACCCCGGCCCCTTGTCCCCGTCCTACATCCTCTGTGGCCTCCCTGAGTCTTTTCTGAGGCTCTCCCGCTAGCGCCCCCAAAGCCCCCGACCCGCAGAGGGCGCCGCGTCAAGGACAGCGCGGGCCGACTCCAGAGGGGGCGGGGCCGCGGCCACGGTCACTTTTTATGAATGGGGGAGCGGGCGGCGCGAGGCCTCATTACTATGCCGCGCATCCTGCGCTGCGCTCCAGCGCGCAGCGCCCATTGGCCCACTGGGCTTCTGACGTCACCGAACCGGTGGCCGGGGGCGGGGCGGGGCAGGGTGACTCACGCCGCGTCTCCCGCGGCCGCGGGGGCTTCTTGGGGTCCTCACACACCTTGCCCTGCCAGGACCTGAGTGGAGGCTCCCCGCGGCCCAGCCGCGTCCGGTCCTGAGCGGTGAGTAGTGGGCCCTACCACGGGTACCCAGAGACTGGGAGGACGCGCAGGGTGCAGGGGCAGGGTGCAGGGGCGCTGGGCCGGAGGAAGGCTGCTGGCGTCTGCTCAGGGTCCGGAGGTCGTAGCTGGGATTCTGGACTAGCAGATTCTGCATTAGCACGCGGCTCCCCAAGTGGTGGGATGCTCGAGCGGTGTGATGGGGTGACCCGGCAAACGGCGAGCATTCCTGCGGGACCAGAGGCCCTGGAGGGACCAGCACTTATCTGAGGTTGAAAGAGCATGAGGCATCTGGGTCGGGCACCTGGGCGTCCGAGCAGCGGGAGGTGTCTTATTTAGGGATTCAGCTATCCAAGGCAGGAGGCGGAGTCAGGCCCAAGATCCAGGTGTCCCAGCAGGAGGAGGGGTCTGACTCAGGAATCCAGGCTTCCACCAGGGGGTGTCTGCCGCGGAGACCCAGAGGTTAGGTGGAGAAAGGGGGTCTGTCCGGAGACCGAAGTCTGGAAGAGAGTGTAGGGGAAATGAGGGAAATGACTTCCCAGGTGTTACCCTAGGAATGTCGATTGGGGGCTGGCAAAAAGCTGCACCGGCTTTGCCTGGGGGCGGAGCCTGAGGCCGGCAGTGCTGCGAATCGTGAGGGGTCTGGGAGCTTCAGGAACAGAGTCATCATCTCTGATGGGAGGGAGCTGACTGCCCTCCTTCTTGACACGTTTCCCTCCCCTAGTCATGAGCCTTTTTAAGGTTCACCTTGAATCCTGTGGTTCCCCACTCATTTATGGTAGGCGGGAGTGTCCACTTCTCTGACCACACGTGGCAAACAGGGCTTTGCCACTAATAGGAATGGGAAGGAGGGTGAAGAGACACAGGGAAGAGGTGGCAGGAAAAGGGGCCCTGCAGAGGCCTGGAGGTGTCAGAGGACAGGACATGAACTGGGGATCGGGGGACAGGGCGTTGGTACCCTACCTGTTATCCTGAGAGGTATCTCTCCCCCAGGGGCGTCCTTCGGGATGCAGGCCTGCCAGTGTCTCATAGGGCTTTTCTTCTACAGGTTCCATGATGTGGGGTGCAGGCAGCGCCAATGTGAGCAGTGTGGACCCAGCAGAGGAACCCACAGCCCCAGCTACACTGCTGCCCTCTCCCAAGGCCTGGGATGTGGGGCTGTGCATCTCAGGCACCCTGGTGTCCTGTGAGAACGCACTGGTGGTGGCCATCATCGTGGGCACGCCCGCCTTCCGTGCCCCCATGTTCCTGCTGGTGGGTAGCTTGGCCGTAGCAGACCTGCTGGCAGGCCTGGGCCTGGTCCTGTACTTTGCCGCTGTCTTCTGCATTGGCTCGCAAGAGATGAGCTTGGTGCTGGTTGGCGTGCTAGCAATGGCCTTTACTGCCAGCATTGGCAGCCTGCTGGCCATCACTATAGACCGCTACCTTTCCCTGTACAACGCCCTCACCTATTACTCAGAGACAACAGTAACCCGGACCTATGTGATGCTGGCCCTGGTGTGGGTGGGTGCCCTGGGCCTGGGGCTGGTTCCTGTGCTGGCCTGGAACTGCCGGGATGGCCTGACCACCTGTGGAGTGGTCTATCCACTCTCCAAGAACCATCTGGTGGTCCTGGCCATCGCCTTCTTCATGGTGTTTGGCGTCATGCTGCAGCTGTATGCCCAGATCTGCCGCATCGTCTGCCGCCATGCCCAGCAGATTGCCCTCCAACGACACCTGCTGCCTGCCTCTCACTACGTGGCCACCCGCAGGGGCATCGCCACGCTGGCTGTGGTGCTTGGCGCCTTTGCTGCCTGCTGGTTGCCCTTCACTGTCTACTGCCTCCTGGGAGACGCCGACTCTCCGTATCTCTACACCTATCTAACCCTGCTCCCGGCCACCTACAACTCCATGATCAACCCGGTCATCTACGCCTTCCGCAACCAGGACGTGCAGAAGGTGCTGTGGGCCATCTGCTGCTGCTGCTCTACTTCCAAGATTCCCTTCCGGTCCCGGTCCCCTAGTGATGTCTAGTTTCATCCTGGTGGTTGTGTGGCTTTGACTACTACAGAATTTCAGAATATCAGGCCCACCAGGGCTTAGTCCCAAACTCCCAGCTCCACACCCTTAAGACCCAGCTGGTTCTGGAGTTCTAAGACATTGGGTGTTTTAGGATTTTGTTCAAGATTCCGTCAGGGCCCCAGCCCAGCTGGCTGCATGGTTCTAGAATGTTCCAGATGGTGGTTCCAAGTGGTTTGCAATTCCAGAATGCTGGGAATTTTACAGCACCATTCCAAGTCCATGATCTTCCTTCCCTGAAACTTGACCTTGACCATGTCACTTTAGTTTTGAATTTTGAAAGTTCAGAATTCAGAGAGGTTAATCACTTAGTTGCCTACAGGAAAGATTTATCACTCTATATGTGAACATACAAAGAAAGTATATTTATTTATTTATTATGTATTTATTTATAAATTCACTTATGGGTGATAAGGGAAAAAAAGAGACCCACACTTTGAAATCTAGTATGTGCCAGGGTGTCCTCAGCCCCCTTGTCCCTGTTTTTGACCTCAGTTCCCAGAGTGGGGATGGAGAAAGAAAAACAATGTATTTTGTTATTTTTGCTTATTTTTTATCAGAGAGATCATAGAAACCAGAGCCTCCTCCCCAGGCCCGCATTGCTCGGGTTTGCAGGAGGAACACACCAGCCTCTGGTTTTTTTAATTTTTTAAGAAGCCATCACCTGAGTAACCGAGAATTCCTCTGCGCTGAGGCCCGGCCTCCCTCTGGTGGCCATTTGGGGGAATTGCAACCGACGAGGTAGTCGGGACTGTAAAACGCACCCCCATCTCTTCAGCCTGGCTTTCAGCGCCACAGCCATGGCCTGGGGGCCAGGCCTCTTACCCTGAGGTGCCCTAGAGGATGCGGGACAAGAGCCAATACCCCACCCCTCTGCCAATAGGGGTACGGTCCCCAGTGCATTCCTGCCCAGTTCCCAACTCTACTCAATAAAAAACGATTTTTTGATAAATATTTGTGTCTGTGCATATGCATGGTGTGGCATTGAGCCAGGATAGCAGGACTCCCTAAGGAATCTGGGAAACTAGAGACACAGAGTAGAGTGTGGCTGACACTGCAAGATGTCAGGGCCCCTCCGACCAGACCCTGGATACCAACTTGCAAATTTCAGTACCCAGGGACAGGGACCAGGATATTAGACTCCTCTTAGATTGAGGTATTACTGTCTGTCCACAGTAGCTAGTTCAGGGCTCAGGTATGCAGAACATGTTTCTAGCCTGCAAGTTCTCTTCACAGTAATAGCTTCCTTTCAACAGTGTTTTCTCCCAGCAAGACATTGTGCTAAGGGTACTGTATATACCTAACCAACATCTCGGCACAGATAATATTGTCTCCATTTGATCTTCATGAGAATACTGAGGCTAAGGTCACATAGCTAGGAAATACAAGACCAATATTCAAATCTAGAACATCTGTTTTCCAAATCTGTGTTCAGTCCCCTGGGTAATCACTTCTCATTTCTTTTTTTTTTTAACTGGCCATGGGGCTTAGAACCTTCCGGACCTTGCCTTATATCCTTAGGGGCCAGTGGCTCACATCTGGGAGATGATCACATGGGGTCTGGTCACTGTGGAGCTGGTAAAGCTTTTCCATGTAACTGTGTGTGCAACTGGAGACTTGAACTTGGGCTTAGGAAGGGAGGAAGGCCCTGTGCTCACCACAAGGGCAGAGGCAGCTCACGGGGAAGTTCTGGGCTGGTGTGGCATATGCCTATCATCCTTGGGTTGGAGATGCAGGGGCCGGAGGATTGTGAATACCAGGCTAGCCTCAGCTACACACTGAGTTCAATACCAGCTTGAGTTATGCAGTGAGACCCTGTCTCAAAACACTAAGGGCTGGAGATGCAGCTCTGGATTTAATCCCTAACAACACACACAGACATAAAGGGAAGGCTGGAGAGACAACGCAGTGGCTAAGAGCATTAGCGGCTTCTACAGCGGGCCTGGGTTCAATTCCCAACATCCACATGGTGGCTCACAACCATCTGTAACGTTACTCCCTCTACCGGCCCCCACAGGCACCAGGCCCAGATACACGTGCAGACAAAGCACCCATTCACATAAAATGGAAAAACAAACAGCAGCCAAGTGTAGCAGTACCAGCTGTAATCCCAACACCTGGGGAAGGAGGGCAGGCAAATCAGGGGCTAACGCCATCCTCGGCTCATAACAAGTTTGAGGCCAGCTACATAAGGCCCTATTTCAAAAACCTAAACACATGAGTAAGGACGCTTCGACTAGTTCAGCCTGGCAGGCTGTACCGTTGGCCAAAGCCAGAAGGAGCCACCAGAGCATTTCTGACCCACTCTACATTTCTCCATCGCACAGATAAAAAAAAAAAGGCTCCGAGCTGGGTGTGGACGCACACCTTTAATCCCAGCACTCGGGAAGCAGAGGCAGGTGGAGCTCTGTGAGTTCAAGGCCAACCTGGTCTACAGAGTGAGTTCCAGGACAGCCAGAGCAATAACAAAGAGAAATCCGGGCTGGAGAGATGGCTCAGAGGTTAAGAGCACTGACTGCTCTTCCAGAGGTCCTGAGTTCAATTCCCAGCAACCACATGGTGGCTGACAACCATCTACAATTCAATTTGGTGTATATATAATAAATAAATAAATCTTAAAAAAAAACAAAGAGAAATCCTATCGTGAAAAAACAAAACAATCCCCACCCCCCAAAAAAGAGTAAATTGAGCATGGTGGATGGCACATACCTGTAAATCCCAAAGTTCTATGTAATCCCTGTTACTGAGGTAGGAGGATTGCAAGTTCAAGGCTTCCCTGAGCTACAGACACTCTGAGAGTAATGGCCCGTCACTAGTCACATAGATGTCTTCCTGCCTCTGCCTCCAGAGTGCTGGGATTAAAGGCGTGCACCACCACTGCCCATGCACTTTTCTTGAAGGGGACCCTAGATGAATGCCCAGCACTCATGCTGAACAGCTCACAGCTGTATGTAACTCCTGCTCCAGAGCGATCACACACTTCTGGTCTCTGCAGGCACCTGTATTCATGTGTATCTACCTGGACACACACATGCACATCAGTAAAAATAAAGACAAACTTTAAAAAAAGATACTTCCAAGCTAGGTACCAGGAGTCAGGTGTGGTGGTGTGTATCTAGCACTCGGGATCAGGAGTTCAAGGCCGGCCACAGCTATGTAGTAAGTTCTAGGATAGCTTTGGCTACATAAGGCCTCAATTTTTTTTTTTTATTTTCAAGCCAGGCATTGTGACACATACCTGTCACTTCAGCATTTGGTAGGTAGAATTAATGCTGCTCTTACAAGGGAACTGAGCTACCTGGGCATGGCGGTGCACACCTTTAATCCCAGCACTGTCTCAAAAGGAACCGAGTTCTCAGCACTTACGATGGGCAACTCTCAAGCGCCTGTAACTTGAACTCCCTAGGATCCAATGCCCTCTTTAGGCCTCCACAGACACCTGCACTCACATGTGCACATACCCATACACAGATGCACATGCATGCAAATACAAATGATATAAAATATTTAAAATAGAAAGTAACAGTTACAAAAAAAAACCCTGCCGTGTTAATTACCGCATCCTCAAATAAAAATGAAATAGGGAAAGATAGGGAATAAATGAGTAATTGTAAGATGAAAGGCCTTTCTGGAGCCTGGGATACATTTTGGTTGGGAGAGTGCTTGCCCAGCATGCACAAAGAAGCCCTAGGCTCGATCCCCGTGTGTGTCCATGGCTGTGTGTGTCTGGAGAGGTCACAACCCTCGGAGCTGTGCTGCCTCTGCTTTCTTATCTCATGCTGACTCTGCATCACACCAGATGGACCAGCAGTGGAGGTCAGAGGGGACCACCCAGCCATCGCAGCTACAAGGGGAATTTGAGGCCAACCTGAGCTATATGAGACTCTCAAACAATTCAAAAAAGAAAAGGACAGCTTCCCAGATCGGTCACATTATTGTCAGCTGAGCTGGGATTTGAGCCCAGGTCATACTTGCCTCCAAATCTGTCGTTTTTTCACTGGTTTAGGGAGTGAGTTTTGGGAACAGGTCAAATGAACCTGGCTAGGAATGTGGGGCAGGAAGGCCTGTGCCCATACTAGGGTGAAGCTTGGGCATCCAGGTTATAACTCACCCTCTGAAGAGGCACGGCGGGGAAGCGGCCCCTTCCTTGCCTACCCCTGGGCATCCCCAGGGAGCCCCAGCCCAGGTAGTTTCCTATTCTAACTGGGTGCAGCTGGACCCTTTTTATCCTCATTTCAGCTTCCTGTTCTGGGACCCACACAGGAGCCTACCAACCGCCATGCTGTGTCTAGGAGTCCGTGTTGGATCTCAGCCGAGGTTCTTGCTGTTGACATGGGCAGTGTACAATGTGGTGAGGCATTTGGAGCCTGTGTGTGTCTGGGCTAGCAGAGTCTTCCTTTTTGTGGATTTTATTTTAATCTTCTGCAGAGACAGGTCAGTCCCCCTGCAGCCCAGCAATTCTTCCCCAGGGAGCCCCTTGCTGAGTATTGCTGGGCTTAGAAGAAGGTTTATACAACAACCCTCCTCCTCCCCTGAGCCACAATGTGCAGAAAGGTGACAGTCAGATCTGGGCTCTTGGAGACAGCACTATATCCAGTCTCCAACTGAGGGCACCTGAAAGGAGGGACATTTCTCTTCAAACTGAAGGCTCGTCACAGAAGAGTTCTTTGTCTCCTCCTCAGAGCTCCAGGCTCCTGAAGACAAGGTCGTGATTCTCCTCAGACCAGGAACTCCCCTTAGGCAGAGGGCCTCTAAGAGCCCCTGAGAGCAGGGCTGAATCTCCCCTTGATATTGAGCCTCCTGTCTCTCTCAGCCTGTGTGTCTGGGGAAGGGTAGTAAACCTCCCAGCCACTCTGTCTTGGCCACCCTTCCTACCCCCATGCCGGAGTCCACCACCACACAGGCCAGGAGAGGGTGCTGGGCAGTGGGCTCCCCGAACTGAAGGAGGAGCCAGGGGCTCTCTTCTTGCTGGGCTGAGCCCTGGTCCTTGTGGGAGGTGGGGCGGCCCTGAGTGCTGCACCCCGCAGGGGCCATGACCGTCTCTCCCTGCAATAAGTGAAGAGACAGCAGCTATTAATATAAGATGAGTTCACGGGCTCACAGCTTCCGCAGGCTGGAAACAGGCTCCGGGGGCCGGGGGGCTGCAGCAAGGCTCGTCTGTCAGATTCCCTTCTGCAGCCTGGAGCCCACCATCCCCCAGCTCTTTCCATGCCAAGATCTCTGCATACACAGATACTCACACGCACACACGTGGGAACCAGGCACCTTACTGTTTAGAGACACATGCAAGCATGCATGTATCCATCCCTGGATACATCTGCACACCCAAGCAGGCACACTTGATCTGCATATACCATTATACACATGAGCTTTATGTACCTTACATGCTGGAACACCTATCAAATGTACATATTCTTGCACACATATGTCCACAGACTTAACCTTGTATGTACATACATATATGTAGGTCTAGATAAGCTTGTGTAAGCAAACCCATTTGTATACCACTGCAGTTATAAATACACATATAAAAACCCACACAAGTGTATACAGGTGGCATTCACAGTTATGTAAACACAGTTGCACGCGGGACCGGGACCACATTCAAGGACTTGAATGCATCTACATGCTACTTTACGCAGCTCCCTGCTGTTAGTGCTCAGCAGTCTTGAACCCATGGGCCCATCTACAGCACCTACAGGCCTCCCCTTCCTCTTTTCCCCCTCCCCCAGCCTTATGACACGCAGCTCCTGCTCCTGTCAACCCCATGGCTGCCTTCAGCTTCCCACCCCCTTAGGGGTCCCCAGGTCCTTGATTAACCCCCTCACTAATTGGCCACCAGCCCCTTGACTTTGCTGCAGGGCCTTCTTGGGAGCTGAGAGCAAGGCTGCAAATTGGCTGAGCAGAATAGGTCCAGGGAATTGTGCGCATGTTGTGGGGAGGTAGCTAAGAGCCAGGGATCTGGCTGGAGCCCATCAGGGCACCCCACACACCAGGGCTATACCTATTTTACATGGACTCTCCTTTGTCATACACAAAGTCATTCCTAGACACACATACACACACACACACACACACACACACACACCACTGGCAAGTATATGTAGGCATGTTCTACCTAGCTCTACACACCAAGGCAGGTGAAGTGAACACTTGCATATTCTCAAGTGTATTCATTGCACCTACTGAGCACACACCCAAGCAATATCTTACCTGTGCACAAAGTTACCTGACAGGCAGAAATCACGTATTAAAGATCTATTTTATTTTAGACAGGGTTTCAGGTAGCCCAAGCTGGCCTTGAACCCACTTTGCAGCCAGGGATAACATGAAACTTCTGATCCTCTTGCCTGCATCTACCAAGGGCTGGAATTGCAGGCACGTATCACCAAACCCTGTTTGATACGGTTCTAGGGATTGAATTCACCGATTGGTGCCCTCTGGGCAAGCACTTTACTGGAGTGAAGGTGCCCTCAGATTCCCTGCAGCTGGAATTACAGGTGAGTGTGAGTTGCCCAACCTGGGTGCTAGGAATCAAACTCTGGTCCTCTTTGTAAGGGCAGAAAGTGTTCTTTCCTGCTGAGCCATCCTTCCAGCCCACAGGCAACATGTATATATGTAAACTCACACACAGGGCTGGAGGCCACAGCAAGGCCTTGGGTCCAACCCCCATTTAAAAAAGGTGCCAGCCGGGCGGTGGTGGCACACGCCTTTAATCCCAGCACTCAGGAGGCAGAGGCAGGCGGATCTCTGTGAGTTCGAGACCAAGCCTGGTCTACCAAGCGAGTTCTAGGACAGAGTGCAAAACAATACAGAGAAACCCTGTCTCAAAAAACCAAAAATAAATAAATAAATAAATAAAAGGTGCCAGGCATTGTGCCAAGTGGCTCATACCTAGAATTTTAACACTCAGGAGGCTGAGGCAGAAGGATCCTCCAATGAGTTTGAGGCCAGCCTGGGCCTCAGAGTTACCCTAGAGACCCTGCCTCAACACAAACAAATAACTAGCCCCATAAACACACCTCATCACAGTCACGTGTAATATGTGTGTAAGCTTATATGTACTACTTACTGGCATGTATAAACTAACTCAGGCGATTGCGAACACTATATTCCAGGCCTGTATGCCCCAAGCAAGCAGCCACGGGCTAGGGAGAGTCCGGTTCCCTTGTTTCCTGGCTCTGCATAAAAGCAAGCCAGAGGTTTACCCCATGCAGTAGGAAACAGTGGAATCCACAGATTCCAAGTTGCATTTTCCCAACCTCCCTGCTAGATGCTTACGTGTAGAACTTCCTTTGGGCTTCCCCTAAGTCTCCAGATAGCCATAAGGACCCTGTCAGTGTTTTCCTGCTTGACCCCTCCGCTTCAATCTCCTTAGCTCTGGGACCAAGCTCACAGGGTGCTGTGTTCTTTGGAGCATTGGTAAGGTTTCTATTGCAACATCTGATGCCAGTTTGCTGTGTGACTCTGCACAAGTTGCTACACCTTTCTGTGCCTTTCCACATCTGCACACTAGGAATCAAAGACTCTACGTGGGCAGTCAGGTCTGTCAGGAAGAGTCCGCTGAATGCTTTAAGGATGTGGTCTACTCAGGCACGCATCTGGGACTGTTACTATTTGCAAAGCCGTGAACACCATGGAGCCGCTGAGCCCAGTATCAGGTTCAACTCCTTGCTGAGCAGAGGAAGTGCAGGCCCAGACAGAACACAGAGAGCTTTGAGCTGAAGGAGCTCTGCGTGGTTAGCATGGAAGCCTGCACCTCTACATGGCCTGTGGGAGTGCGAGCATGTGTGCAGTCCCCTAGGGTAGGGCGGGGTGCCTGCCTAAGTGGGAAGGTATCTGCCCTCCTGTCACACCGACTGCAATTCTGCTTTTGATCCCTCAGGACATTCAGGCTGTTTGTGTCCTTACGCTTCAAGAGCCTCCTCTGGTGCTACCCCCCCAGGCCTTGGGGAGTGGGCAGAAATGGTTCCTGACCCCACAATCTAGGTGGTAAGTGGTTGCCAATCACCCTGAGCAGAACTTCAGGAAATGGTGCCAGGTTGCCCGGGTGAAAAGGTGGCCAGGAGGGGGCAGTGAGCCACTGGCCGAGGGAGGCAGCCAGCCAGCACCGAGGCTCTGGAGGGCTGCGAGATGCGCCTGCAATTATGCCAGCTCCTGTGGCTGTGTGCTGACTTGTGCCCTTGTTTTGCACAAGAGCAGAGCTCTGCACACATGTGTGCTTGTATTCCTGGGCTCAGACTGTGTGCCGCTCACGGAAAATGTGTGTAAACGAACATGTGCATGTGTGAACAGGGCAAGGTACACCCACATGGAGCCCATACCGAGGGAACCCACGTTGTTCCTAAGTAGCCAAGGGCACAGGCTACTTCCGATCCAAAGGTCGAAAATGGCTGGGCCCTCAGTCAAGCTTGCTTGACTTCAAAGAGCAAAAATAACCCTCACCTGCTATTGCACCTGTAAAACTGTGCAGGGGAGGAGTGGGTGAGGCCGAGAAGACCTTCGGCAGTCCCCAGTGGAAATGGCATGGCAGGCAGGGTGTAGGCAACTCACTTCACCTCTCAAATGGGGGGACTCATGCCTTTAAAGATCAAAACTACGCACGTGCTGCCCACCGCAGGTAGTGGGCGCCCAGTAAATGCCCATTTTCCTTAAGATGAATAATTCCAGGAGGTGAAACGATTCGCACAGGGTCAGGGCTTCCAAGTGGCAGCAGCGGAGCCGGCATCCAGGCGCGGGCCTCCAGTTTCCCAGAACACTCCTTCCTTCCAGTCCCTCCAAGGGCGGCTCCGACACCATTTTGTCTTCTGCCAGGGCAGGCGGCTGGCTGCCTGTCAGTCACCAGCTCCTGCAGCCAAGTGCTGACTAAACACAGGCCGCACGGGAGGGGAGCGAGGGGCTCCGCGCCCCCTCCCCGGCACCCCACCTCCAGCGATGAGCTCAGAGAGGCTGGCACAGCACTTGCTGACAATTCAAAACTTCTGCCCCCTCTCCCGGGACGCCCGTGGGTGACTCTCTGCAAACAGCAGGCGTGGTGACCCACTGTACCTCCAACCCTGGTCCCTCTCATCTCCCCGGAGCCACCCCACTGTGTCAGCTGGGCCCAGAACTGGGTGTCTGCTCATAAATTACCCCCAGGGACAGTAACTACAGCACTGTGTTCTAAACAACCCTTGCTTTTGGGGCAGGTCACTCTGGGGGGTCAGAATGCAAACCCAGCCCCCTCATTCTTCCTCAGGCAAGCAAGAGAGGGCGTGGAACAGCCTAAACCTTTTTTTTTTTTTTATCGGATTCCATTGTAAACCGTTCTATTTAAGGTAAGTTGCTTGGGTCTGAGAGGCAGACAAGATGCCCGCCAGATGTTGGGAGGCAGCATCGGCATTCAGGGTGTGCACCTCTCCTGGTGCAAGGAGCTGCGGGCAGCCAGCTCTAGGGTGTCCTCACAAGGGCCCTGTGCCCACAAACCAGCTAGAAGCCTCCTGCTCTTGGAGCCTACCCCTGCTGGACCCCTCGCCCACCTGTGGCCCTCCTCCCATGAAACACACACACACACACACCCCAGAGGTGACTGAGTGGCTATGAAGACTTTATCAAATTATTGAAAATGTTGGCATTTAAACTATGCATGTGTTTATTACATAAAAGTTACATGGAACCTTCAGGTCACTGGAGTACAAACGTGGCACACACAATGAGCCTGACAGAGAAGCAAATAAAACCAGACTTGAAACTTAAAAAAATTTTTTTTGGTTGTCCTAGCCAGGTGCGAAATGTCTATAATTTGTGCACTCAGGAGGCTAAGGCAAAGGGATCAGGATTTCGAGGCCAGTTTCAGGTATGTTGCAAGTTCAAGGCCAGCCTGGTCTACCTCAAACACTCTTAAAAACAACAAAAAAAGTGGCTGTTATTTTTATTTGTTTAGAGACAGGGTTTCCCTGTGTAACAGTCCTGGCTGTCCTGGAACTTGCTTTGTAGGCCAGGCTGGCCTTGAACTCACAGACCGGCCTGCCTCTGCTTCCCAAGGGCTGGGATCATCCAGCCTGTGGGTGTTCTTTAACTGGTATGGGAAGGGCAGAAAAAAAGGGCCACTGTGAGGGTGGCTTCATCTCATCACTCAGATGCCCCCTTCCCAACCTTTAGGAGACAGGGTCTATTTTCAGACAGTAATTCCACAATATATTAGCTCACAAAATCTTGATACGGGAAACACACCCGAGAACCTACTGGAATATGTCCTTATAAATATATTTATATCAGAGAAAACAAGGCACTTTGGGAGCATGATAGCTTTCTCTCCTATGTGTACAACATTCTAGGCAGAAAGTAAAAATTGGTTAGTTTCTCAAGTGAATTAACTGAATAAAGTTAATATGGTAACAGAACTGTTCCCGGCCTTCACTATTAAAGTGAACGAGGCAGGAAGTGCAGGAGGCAGGTCTCTCTGCAACACCTGGTCCCAGGTCAGATGGGCACCAGCCAAGTTCAAAGCTTGATGCCCCCCAAGAAGCTGACACAGCTTCTGAATCAGAGCGCCTGGCCCTGGTACACTGCCTCCCTCCCCAGGCCCTGAGGTCAAGTAAGGGGCTGCAGCAGAGGCAGCCCTAGTGCAGAGCAGGGACACGGTGGGAATGCTTAAGCAGGGTCACCAAAGCCACAGAGACCTCAATCTGTCCAAGCTGGCGCTGTGGAGTCGGAGGATCGGCGCCACGGGAAGAGATTTCACATTAGCCCTGACAACACTGCCTCAGCTCTGCGGTGACATTGGCCAGGGTCGTTTCTGAGGGCGCTCGCTCTTCCACTGGAGGCGAGCTGGAGCTTGGGCCAGCTGCTCTGAGCCTCCAAGGGATCCCCCTACCCCCACCCTTGGAATGAAATCATCTCACGACCAAGGCAAAGCCACAAGTCACTTCTGACACTACTGACTGCAAGCTGGGCCCTTGGGCCACAGGAATGGGGGCAGGCCCCCTGGGCCAGGCAGACCAGGAAGGGAGGTGGCTCCTTGTCGTCAGCACTTAAGAGTCCTTATGGGACACTGCTTTATATTCTTACCAGCCTTAGCCCAGTTTAAATAATCACTAAACTTTGTATTCTACAATTACAGGATTCTGTAAACATACCTATCTGCACTGGGTCCTTTCTTATTTTAAAGATCTCGGGGTTTAAAGAAGCATGTTTTAATTTTTCTGTACACATACGCCTAAGTAGAGCATAGAGGACCTCTCTACTGACTGGGCCCCCAGCCCCCCAAGCTGAGGAGGCTCCACAAGGCCGCTGCTACAAAGCAGCGCAGAGCTTGGCTGCATGGATTTTAATGAGAGCGTCAGGCAGAGCTGTGCCGTTGCTCTCCGGGACTTGCAGATCATTACCAAACCAGCTGTAGGATGAGAACACAGCACATCGAAACCCTAGGAGGTCACTGAGCTAATGATCTAATCCTACCTTCGGCAGACAGGGCCCCTCCCCATCTCCTCCCGCCCCCAGTCTTTCCTGGTGGACTCCATCCATTCCAGAAGCCAGGCCAACACCGCCCCTTCAAGGTCGGAACAGAACCACAGTGAGTGGCTCTGGCTTCCCTTTCCCGGAGAGCAGGAGGAGGGGAGTAATTTAGTCAAAACCATTAGGCACAAACCCTGTCCTGGCCAGGCCCCAGGACTTCTATTTGGAAGGACCACTGCCCTCCCCTGCCTCTCCAGCCCCTGCCAGGCTGCAGTCGGGGTCAACAGCCATTTTAAGGTTCTGATGAAAGCACCTTCAGCTTCTAAGACACAGGGTGGGAACACGCACAGCATGGAGTGCCAAGTCCTGTGCCAGACATGGGGTGGGGGAGGGGACGGGACAGACAGTGCACTCTGGAGTAGCCACAGCAGGAGGGCCTGCTGGCACCTGCGAGCTCACTACCTCCAGTTCAAGAGAGGAGGCAGAGGGGAGGCGCTCAGGCAGCGCAGGCAGCAGTGATTGCACTCTCCTCAAGCCGGAGGGCTTTATGAGGGCTTTGGCAATTACTACAACCATTTGCTGTGCTGGGTAGAGACAGATCCTGCTTCTCTTTGTTTCAGGCTCGGAAGCCAGAGAAGCCGATCTCAGCACAAGAGGCCACACAATAGTTGGGGCAGAGAGAAGAAACCTTGCTGTTGGCCAGAGCTGATCAGTTTTTTTTTTTCCTGAACAATAGCACCTGTGTATTAGTTCTGGGAAGGGAGGGTAAAGGGTCTACATCACCATACACAGTGAGGCGGGAGCCAGGAAGACCCCGTCCTCCCTGCCTTTCAGTCTTCTCCATGGCTGCCAGCCCCCCCCCCCCAGGCAGGTACCTGCTGCGGCCACCAGCCTGAGGGACCAAAGTCTCCACAGCTGGCAAAACCTATGCTGAAACTGGGGAGACAAAAGGGCCAGGGAGCTGCAGTGAACTGAAAACCGCACCTGCCGAGGCTGGCTGCCCCACCCTCCCCTCTACTGTCCCCAGCACAGCTCCAGAGCCACACGACTGACTGACTGAGACAGAAGGGGGATACGCGGCCTCAAGAGAGGTTGTGAGTGTCAAAGCCGCACTCGTGGGGCTGGCACAGGCTGCTTCGCCCTCCAAAGGAGACCCCTGCCGTCGGGAGGTCTGGGGCAGCAGCCAGGGCTGCTTCGCCCTGACTCCAGCAGGTGCTCATTATTTGGTCCCAGGAAACACAGGTGACTTGGAAAACAGGAAGCCTGGGCTCTTGCTCTATCACTATCTGTGACCTTGAGAGACAGTCACTTCTCTTCTTGGCCTTAGCATCCTGGAAGTGCAGGACCCAAGGTATTCCATTCTCTTCCAGTCCTGCGGGCCACACCTTCAAGTTTTGCTCCTGACAAGTCAGCAGAGGCCCAGGTCCCTGTGTGCCAGGGCTAGTTTGGTCATCAATATCAGAGGTTAAAACTGGGCTGTGCAGTCTAAAGGCACATGGGGTGAGGGAGGGACACACAAAGGACACCTGGACACCACACTCACTAAGAGGGAGCATGGGAGGAAGGCAACAGCCCCAGCATCACTTCTCGGCAAAGGAGTGAGACATTCTTTAGAGGTCTAATGCCTTCTGGACCAAAGACATCCAGACAGGGCTGAGGAGAGGCAGCCTCACCGGCTGCAGAGGACTGAGTGTGGAACAGAGGTGGCAGTCTAGCTGCCAGGGCACTTGGCCTACCCTGTACTCTCAGGGTATAGAAAAGGGACCAGTTTTGTCCACACAGGCCGTCCCCATTGTTTAAGACCAGGAGACAGATAGCATTATTTGGAGTAACTGAACGTAAGAGTTTTGATGAAGGCCATGTGTTAAAAGGGTTATTAGGGGAAGGCACTATCTCCAGTTGAAACCCAACCAAAGGGATCTGCTGTAGGGTTTTTCCTTCCTTCCTTTCAATAGTTAAAAGCCACTTGAGGGGAAGAGGGATCAGCTCCGCTATGGACTCTCAAGAGCTCACAGCCAGGGAAAGGGAAGTACATGGTGATTTGGAGGGAGACTGCTAGATCTTTGGTTGCTCCACGAAGGCTTTGGCCTTGAACCGTCTGTCCTCCCTTTCTTCCCCCCATGAGACTGGTACAGTTGGTATCAAAGAAGGCAGGCAGGAAGGACAGGAAAAGGAATGTGGACAGCAGGCAGGAAGTTAATCCGACCAGTCGTCTTCATCAAATTCAGAGGAATCATCTTCCGAGTCGCTGTACTCAACAGCAATTCGCCGTGACAGGATGGTGGCCACATCATTGCCCACTACATCACGCTTCTCTTGCTCCCGCTGCTCTTCAACCCTTCGAAGCTGAAACCCTGGTGGGAGAGGGAGCAGAGTTAAGAAGCACAGCCTTAGTCTAGGAACCCTCAAGAATGAGCGTGGGTAATGGCCGATGATCAGGACAGGGCTGTAAAGGACAGAAAGGCCTCCTGCGGAAGAGACAGATTTTACGAAGCCACATCCCTGGGTTATGGGCATCTTTGCGGCCCTTTTCTCACCAGGCTTCTGACGGTGGACTACCACCATACCCTGTCAGGCAATCGCTCAGACTGCTCCAAGTCCCTAGCTACAGTAGGGCTTGTAAGATCACCAACAGGACAAAGCACAGCAAACCCTTGGGACCAATGAGAGACAGGGAGAGAGAGACAGAGACTGAGAATGAGTTGGTAGAGGAGGGGGAGTTGGTGGCTGGGAGAGAAGGGAGGGGGGGAGAGAGTAGAGAAGACAGTTGCAACACAGTCCTGCTGAAAAGTTGCCACTGGGACAGGGACTCATTTTCTTCTGGGGATCTTTCCCCAAGAAAACTATGTATGCAAACATACACAAGATGCTCATTTCAAGGAATTCCAAGATCCCAGCTTAAACATAATTCACGTTTAGCAAATATAGAAAGGGTTCTTAATCTCAGTATCCTCAGAGAGGCCCCGCCCCTGCCTCTGAGGTCCTAATCTCTCAGTTGCCCACGAAAGCTGTTCCCCAGAAAGGGTAAAGATCCTGTACCCTACCCCAGCTTCAGAAAGGGAGCATGTCCTTGGCCCCTCACTGGGATTACCTTGGCGGATGGCAGAAAGCAGGTCACTACGTGCATCACTCACAGCGGGCAACGAGGACTTGGGCTTGGCGGCATCAGAAAGAGGTGGTGGTGGTGCAGCAGGCTGGGCATCAGCACTACTGAAGGGGAGAGGCGGGGGCCCTGGAGGTGGAGGAGGGGGGGGAAGGGGGGGAGCACCTCCAGATGGTTGGGACAAGGGAGGTGGTGGCATTGGGTAGTCAGTTGCTGGTGGTGGGGGTGGGGGAGGAGGAGCAGCAAAATCAGGGTGAGGAGGAAAAGATGGAGGCGATGGTGGTGGAGGGGTCCCAGGGGACCCAAACCCTACAGGTGGTAGTGGAGGTGGCACACCCATTGGAGGCGGAGGCGGAGGCGCAGGTGGCGGGGCAAAGCCTGGTTTGGGGCCTGGAGGAGAACCCAGAGGAGGAGCCGGGGGTGGATGACTTGGGCTGACCACGCTGGTTCTTTTGGGTCCAACCAAGACAGATCCTCTTTGGTTGTCTGCAGGGTAGCTAAAAGGCCAAGGAGACAAGTCACCATAATTTTCATGATGCCAGCTTGCCCAGAGGCAGGCTTATCTATAACGCAGATCCTTCTTTGTTGCCTCTCCTTTCACTGTGGCTCAGACAGATGAAGTGCGCAGCACTGTGGGGAGAGAACTTTCCAGCACAGGAGGGGTCTGGCCAGAAACTGAAGGAAATATCAGAGGGCTGCTCTGGCAAGCAAGGCTGCAGAGACATCTCTTAAGTCCCTTTAACCTTAGTTTTCCTGAACCCTCTTGGACAGAGTGGCCCATGGGTAGCTGTCATTTTAAGCCCAGAGCTAGACCTAAATACATACAGGGAAGAGCTAGAACAAAAATTCAAAGCCAGGTGGTGGGAATGCGCATCTTTAATTCAAGCATTTGGAGGCAAAGCATCCCCAAGTTCAAGGCCAGCCTGGGATGCACAGTGAGAAACCTTGTCTAGAAAAGACAAAAACAACAACAAAAAACCCAAACAAATAAAAAAATTCAAGCCCTATCTGTCTAGTGGGTTCTGTTTCTTAGGCTCTGAATACTCACTGGATTTGGTGGGGGCAAAAATCTATTTGGAGTTGGCCAAATGGAAATAGGAGTTTATGTAGTCTAGGCTGGCCCAGGACACATGACAATTTCCTGTCTTGGCCAACCTCGTGCTAAAATTATGAGCCTGAGTCACCGTGACTGGCTTTATTTAAGACAGGGTCTCACTATGTCTCTCTCTGGCTGGCCTCAAACTCACTGAGATCCTCCTGCCTCTTGAGTGCTGGGATTAAAGGTGTCCGCCACCACAGCACTCAGCTCCCAGCTAACTCTTAACTCAGGTTTGAAAGAGGATGAAAGCTCACTTTACAGATCAGATCTCTAAGAGGCTCCAGCTTCAAGGTCTCAGACCACTTCTAAGACAGATTTTCTTTCCTATTCCTTTCACCTGCCCTACACTAAGAGCTACTGCTTAGAAAAGTACCCTACCAGAAATGTGGGCACATGCCTTTAATCCCAGCACTCCAGAGACAGAGGCAGGTGGGTCTATTTGAGTTTGAGGCCAGCTTGGTCAACACAGAGAGTTCCAGGAGAGCTAGGGATTCATAAAGAAAACCTGTCTTAAAAACCAAAAAAAGAGCCAGGCATTGGTGGTGCACACCATTAATCCCAGCACTAGGGAGGAAGAGGCAGACAGATCTCTGTGAGTTCGAGGCCAGCCTAGTCTACAGAGCAAGTTCCAGGACAGCCTCCAAAACAATGCAAAGAAACCCTGTCTCGAAAACCAAACCAAACCAAAACAAAACAAAACAAAAAAACACCAAAACGATAAAATAAAGAAGCACCCATCTGGGAAATTTCCTCAGATCTTCAAGACTCAGCTACATCTTGACAGGCACCACAAGAACTGATTTGGGGCCAGCTAGTGATGGCTTGTGTCTTTAATCCCATCACTCGGGAGGCTGAGGTGGGCAGATCTCTGTGAGTTTGAAGCCAGTCTGATCTACAGAAAGAGTTCCAGAACAGCCAAGGCTACACAGAGAAACCCTGTCTTGAAAAACCAAAACTACAACAACAAAAAAAATGTGATTTGGAGGGAGATTTGGGCTCAGTGATCTGAAAGCTGAGAATGGGAAAGAGGAAGAGGACAGCACTGCTTTAGGTCTCCACGTGAATCCTTCAACATACCCAGCCACTAGCTGAGTAGTATCCAGGGAGAAATGAGCATCTTCGAAAGCCCACTTCTCAGGCAGAGAGAGGAAAAAGGAGCTGAGAGAACAGAGGAGTCTGGACAACCCTCAGGCCCTTCTAGCCATAATGGACAATCACTTGTACACAACGGCCAAAGACATCAACAAATAAATCCCCAAAGGGACAGACTGGAAGTCACACAGTCTTATTTCCCCCTTTGCCATGTGTGTTGTTCCCCTCCCCCTGCTATGTAGTGCTGATGGCCTGGAACGCACATGTAGTCCAGGCTGGCCTTAAACTTCACTGGGATTACTTGTGTCAGTCACTACACTCAGCTCACGCTTCCTGAGGGGTAAACAGGACAGAAGTGAGCTGAGAAGCAGGAGAGGGCTGTCTAGTCGGTGCCCCATTCTGCTAGCTTGTGAAAGCTGATGCTCACCTTCCGTCAGTTCACTGACCTTTGTGTGATCAACAGATCACTCACCTGTAACACAGGGTAACAACACTGCCAACACTTGATAAATTTTATTCCTGTTACCTACACACTCTTGCCTGAAGTCATTTTAGTGGCCCTGATCTAGATTTTGAACTCTTACTTTGCCCTTGAGTGCTTTTCTACCCAGGATGGATGGAGAGGTTCTGCCATTTACCTGAATTCTGCTGGTGGGGGAGGCAAGTTGTCTTCAGAGAAGGAAGGAGAAGGTGAGGAGGTGGAGTCTGACTGTGGTGGTGGTGGGTAGCTGCCTGCATCCACATTCTCCACAGAGCCAATGCTGCCATTCTGGTACACCAAGGTGGAAGAGACTCTGATAACATACCAATGTCAAAGTGGTCATTTAGAGAATCCAGTTCCATCCAAAGCACTAAAACATGTATAAACACACAGAGCTTGAGTGGCTCTCTCTTTTCTTACTAAAAGATATCACATTGACACAAAAGTTATTAGGGAGGGACAAAACAAGGAGACTCCCCATGTTACACCAAAACTATACTGTAGGCTAGGTATGGTAGCATGTGCCTTTAAAGACAGGTGATCTCCATGACTATGAGGCTAGTGTGGTATACATACCAAGTTCCATGCCAGTCAGGGCCACAAAGTGAGACTCTGTGTGTGTATGTGTGTATGTGTGTGCGCGTGCACACACATGTGCGTTCGTGCATCTGTCTGTCTGTCTAAAATCAAACCCAGCAGTTCTTTTTTCTTTTTTTTTTTTATGAGACAGGGTTTCTCTGCATTGTTTTGGAGGCTGTCGGTCCAGCCCGGCCTCGAACTCAGAGATCGCCTGCCTCTGCCTCCCGAGTGCTGGGATTAAAGGCATGCGCCACCAACGCCCGGCCCCCAGCAGTTCTTTTAAATGCTCTCCCAAATATTAGGTACAGCTAAACCTGAATCCCAAAATCTTACAGCAAAGAATGAAGCCAATTTCCACAGGTTAGCTGCAAACATGTGACTGGCATACAGCCTGATTTTGAGGTAGGCAAGTCCCTGGAGTGTTCAAAGGCTAAGGGTGCATTTGATTGCAAAATCAAGCCAAAGATGAATGCAGGGTGCCATGTGGCAGCAACTGTGGCTTCTCTGCCATGTCCTCTATTACATGATGAGCGGCTGCTTAAGGCAGGGTCCTAGAGCTAGCTGCATGAAATCTTTAAGTACTGGGCCCTGAGTGAACATCAAAACCTCATACAAGCATCAACACACCAAGCAGAAAGTCTACATATTATCATAAGTACACTGGGCACCAGTTAGCAAAGCTGGCCTGCTCTGCCTTCTCTTCCCCTCCTCTGCTCATTAAGCAGGCTCCAGGAACAGACTTGTAGGAAAATAATCAAGTCAGACGATGCTCTCCTGTGAAAAACCCCAAAACCTGGGCACATCTCTTTGACAGCTTCACCCAGAAGCATGTTCTTACAGCCAATTCTAAACCTCCTGGAAAATAGGAAAACGAGGGGCAAGGGCACCACTCCTCACTACCCAAGTCTCAAGTGAGACATGCATCTCTTTGTATAGTCTTGGCTGTCCTGGAACTAGCTCCATTGACCAGGTTGGGAGACCACATTTTTGACAGCTAGCATTATGGCCTCTAGCAGTCACTAAACCTATGCCATGTGCCTATCAGAATGGGATGGGACTGTGGAACGAAATGGCCCCTTACTGGGTAGTGAGATTAGTATTGGTTTCTCTGTAGAAAGGTCACTGTCTCGCTCTGTCTTCATCACGCTTATAAAAACAAGCCTCTGAATCCAGGAGGAACAAGTGTCACAAGTGTCAAGATTCTTAAAAGTCAAGATGTTCATGGCAGAGTTATTCCTAAGAGCAAGAACAACTCAACTCTTTCCTTTTATCACTCCACAACACCCAGTACGGGCTGGCATGGTTCTTTGACAGCCAGAATGCAATGCTTTAGAGGAAAAGCCAGGGTGACACTCATGCCACGCAGTCATGGTGACTTGGCTTTGAATGTCACAGGGGTCAGACATCAGGATAAGCATCAAACCAAGCTTTAAATCCATTCTCCCCCTTTAAACCTCCAGTGTGGTTTGGTATTGGGAAATGGGTCAGGATGACACCCCCCACTACCCACAGAGATATATAGCCTCACAGTGGCCCAGCAACCTTTCCCACACTGACTCTGAGGTCTGCATTCAGTCCCTTTGGCTAGCTTCTCTCCCAAGACTGCAAAGACTGGCTGAAAATTTGTTTTGGTAAAGTGCAAGGCTTGCGTGCTACTCACCCCCCACCCTCCCTCGCTCAGCCCTTCAGTGCAACCTTCTTGTGTACTTGGGAGGCAAAGGCCTCCCAAGACCATTTTTCTTGCTCCTTCAGTCTTTCCTCTGAGACCTTAGGTATACTGGATTCTGGCAGAGGAACAGCACTGGAGGCCATGGCCTTCCCTTTCAGACCACTCCAGTTACCTCATTGAAATTGCTGAGTCTCCTGACTTATTTAGAAATTTTAATCACCAGATGGATGCACTTAAAAGTACTGGACTAACAGTTGTATTGGCCTAAATAAACCCTACAGCTAGATTTCAGAGGGTGTGGAAGGTATCACTCCTGAGCCTATTGTCCTGAGGCCCCCAACCCCTTCAAAGAATGCTATAAAACAGTACCTACCCAGAAGGCCCCAGTTTTTCTTTGGACTCTACAAACTCTTGTCCCATCTTCATTTTCTCCCACTCTTCCTTACGTGTCTTGATTTTACGTGGGTTTACATTGCCCCTATTCGGATTATCTTTCTTTTCTTTCTATAATGAAAGGGAACAGAAAAGCCTTTGTGAAACATTTTCCCAAGTGCTTCATTAAAATTCATTGTGGACACACACTCATGAGATGATTTGCCTAGACAACACATGGTAACAGCAGAATCTACAGAACTACCAGGTTTGCAGTGACCTAGAGGCCATCAATTCAAACCACCTCCCAGGCAAAGCATTTGCTCAGTCTCACACACAAGCACCTCTGGCAAAAAGGAGCCTCAGCTACCTCTCTGGGCAATTGCTTCGCATCTTTAAGTGTTTTAATTGTTAGTAAACACTTATTTGTTATTTGCTGTGCCACAAAGGTCAGTCAAGGGGTGAGGACTGGCAGCTCTAGAGATCTGGGGCAGACAAAGGCAACAGTTAAAAAACCAAACAGAACAAAACCAATGGAGGGTTTTCCAGCTCATGCAGCTGCACTAGCCTCTGGCACTCTCTTGGGCCTGCTGACAGCCATGCTGATGGGATTGCAAGGTCAAAGCTGACAGGTCACACTGCACCAGGAGCCTAGAGAGGCATCTCTACACACCAGGCCGCCCCTGGCCCCACCCACCCAGTAGTGAAGGGGTTAACCTTCTGTTGTAAACCAAATATTGCAGAACCTGGTGCTTGTCTCTGAGAAATGAGCTGCAAAACCGGCAGGGATGGGACCAGGCTAGCAGAGTGTCCAGCAGAGTCAGGTGCAAATTGCAAGAAAAATAAATGGTGAATAGAAAAGTCAATTTTTAAAACTCAGTGCAAATATACTCAATTGTTAATAGTGCCAGGGGAACAAGCACATTTTTGGTGTGATTCATACTTTCTCATCTTGGTGGTATTTGGTGTGGACACACTCTTTTTTTTTTTTTTTTTAAAGAATTTTACCTGGCATCCAAGCAAGCAGCCACTTGGAATTACTTCACATAACACTGGCTTCCTTTTTATCCCCACTCCACAATCGTGCCTACTGATGTGTAGAACAGAGGCCCCTTTCCCCTCACCCTATGCTTTCTCTTCTCTTTCATGATATCCTTGGTGTCCTGCAGCATCTTCTCCTTCCAAAGATCAAAGAAGTATGAAGGGTTGGTGTAGAATTTGAGTGCCTCTTTTCCATCATCCCTGGGATAGAAATGAAGACAAGTAGCTGTCAGTAGACAGATGAGCTCCCAACCAAATCCAATATTCCAAACACCAACCAGTTAGCAGTTTTTACACTAAGGATTCAGGAAGCCATTCAAACCGATTGCATATTTCCTCTCCCACACGGGGTTTACAATGGCCCCAAACAAACCTTTGCCGTACCTTTAATTCCCCTACAGGAATTTGCATGGTCAGGGCAAGAACAGGCTAGAGCAGCAGGAATTCTGATTATTTCTAATCATCTGCAGGGTCACAGACAGCTCCCTAAAGAGATCTGGATACTGTGCACTTTTATTTTTTTTTATTTTTTATTTTTTTGGTTTTACGAGACAGGGTTTCTCTGTTTTGGAGGCTGTCGGTCCAGCCTGGCCTCGAACTCACAGAGATCCGCCTGCCTCTGCCTCCCGAGTGCTGGGATTAAAGGCATGCGCCACCAACACCTGGCCAGAATATACTTCTTTTTTTTTTTAAGATTTATTTATTACATGTACAGTGTTCTGCCTACATGCCAGAAGAGGGCACCAGATTGAACTGTAGATGGTTGTGAGCCACCGTGTGGTTGCTGGGAATTGAACTCAGGACCCTTGGAAGTGCAGTCAGTGCTCTTAACCTCTGAGCCATCTCTCCAGCCCCCAGAATATACTTCTAAATCAAACATTAATACTTGCTTTTAAAAATGCCTTAGATTTATTTTCACTTGTGTATATGTGTCTCTGTGTATGTGTATACACATGTGTGTAGGTGCCCACAAAGGCCAGAAGGGTGTGTCAGATCCCCTGAAGCTACAGTTACAGGCAGCTGTGCGTTGCCAGATGTGAGTGCTGGGAACTGAACCTGGGTCTTCTGCAAGAGTAGCAAATATTTCTTAATTGCTGAAATATCTCTCCAGGTTCTGACACAAATAATTTCTATATTAACTAAATCTTGATCTGAGTTAGAGACACCCCTTAGGCCAAATCTAGATAACTGAGAGGAGATACTAGTTCTGGTATTTTGTGTCTAAAAAATAAAATACCATTCTAGAAAGGTGAACTATCTCAATATTATTTGCTTATCTGTCCCACCATATAAATGCTGTATCTTATCTCTTCTGGTATTATGAGGTACAACTTTATCCAAATTCAATAAGACTAAAGCATGACAGCCACAGGGGCAAACATGACTTCATACACTAGTCACAAAGGGCAGATACTCTGAGCCTGTCTGTATCTGTGTGAAAAGCTTCCCAGTTCCTATCTGAGGCTCTCTGAACAGGCCAGTGTCCTTGAGTTCACAGGTGCACACACAGAGACACTGCTGTGTAGTGAACCCGTTTGATAGACAGCACCCACCTCCAGCCACTTGTAATTATTTTTTACCTGTTCCAAAGTCATTTATGGATACAAGCAAAATAATCACTTTCTACTTCTGTTCAGTTTGTCTGTGCATGATGACATTACCAAATCACCAGAGGGGAGGGACTCTAGGTTATCTGTAAGGCCATCTTCCTTTTCCATGTCTATCTACAGCGAGGAAGGTCCTTGCAGAAAAAAATATCCAAAGGGTGCTCAAAATGAAGTGACTGACATTAACATGGAAGGATGCCAATTACTCCCCATGCTCTGGAAGGCCCCCTGTGAGCCTAGAGCAGCCATCTGAACACTGGTCCCACTAACTCGTCCAAACATCTGGGAATCTAGAGTTTTCCCAGTAAGTGGAAGCCCTGCTAGAGTGCAGCCCTTGGGAATCCATGCTGCAGGACTGCCTGCTAACAAGTCCTTTTGCTTCTGTAATAGCCAAATTCCTTGGATGGAATCCAGATAGACTTGCTTTCACCAAAGTAAACTCTGCAGAATGCAATGTTACAGCAAGCTTTCAATATATAGTAGATACAGATGGTCTCTTTCAGAGACCAAACAAGAGTGAACTGTCTTTGCTGCCATAAGCTCCTCTGGGGTAGACAGTAAGCTCAATAAGACTCTCTGATATAAACATTATCTTTAGGTATTTTAGACAATGCAGTGTTTTTAATCTCTCTCTCTCTCTCTCTCTCTCTCTCTCTCTCTCTCTCTCTCTCTCTCTCTCTCTCTCTCTCTCTCTCTCTCTCTCTCTCTCACACACACACACACACACACACACACCCCCAAGGGAGAGCTGTTACCTGTAAGGACTTAGGTTGTTGAGAGGGGGGGGAGCGTCACAGCTGTTATAGGTTTCTAAGACGGGCACTGGGAGAGAATTTCTGTCAAAAAGCTTCTGGTCTTGGATGGTAGAGCTTCTGAAGGCCTTTCGAGTGTTGATTCCTTGTAGTGACACTGAGAGAAGATGGAAGGCATTAGAAAATGGACGACAGGCTATTTGAGCAAACCCTGAGTCACACTAGTCGGAGAGGCCTCAGCTGCTGTGTTTCTTGGCTGCAGCTGTCTGCAGCCAGGTTTTTTCCTCCCACTCTGGGGAAGCCCCACAGGCTGTCAGCAGCCCAGCCATTTCAGGACTGAACAGAATGAAGCAACACAAAGGTTCACTATGTGGCCAGATCTCACAGGCCTCGCTTTAGGTGAAATGAATCTTCCTTGAGGGAAAGCAGATTTGGGAACAAGGGAACTGGGAAATGGGAGAAAGGGACTGTGGGGGTGTAGTAGAACTAAAAAGATTTCTTTACACCATCTAGGTTTACGTCACTTCAAAGCATAACTGCACTAGTCTCTCTGGTTTCTCTCCTTGCTTTTTAACAAACTAGGGGCAGAATTCTCAGACACTGCTCAGCAAAGCTTGCAGCTCTGGCTCAGTCCCCTTACCTTCTTCTTCCTTGGGATCCAGCTGAGTGACTTTAACTTGTACTCGGTCAACCCGCTCAGCCAGGGAGTTTACCCGGGAGGCAAAGGCACTTGCCTGAGTACAAATCTCTCCGAAAATGTCCTCTGCATATTTGCCTAGAAAGAGCAAAGAGACCAAGTCACTAGTGCATAGGAATGATAGAAACACAAACCCAGTCTCTCTCTCTCTCTCTCTCTCTCTCTCTCTCTCTCTCTCTCTCTCTCTCTCTCTCTCTCTCTCTCTCTCTCTCTCTCACACACACACACACACACACACACACACACACACACACACACACACACACACACACACACACACACACACGCCCTTGGAGAAAACTATTCACCATAGCCTGGGCAGTCTGTGTGTATACAGTCTATAACTAATAGAACCTTCTTGACAAATTATGAACAAACAGGAAACTCAAAGCAGGTTGAACAAAATCAAAAGGTGTAATGTCAACAAATTAGTCCTGGAAGAGCAGACAGTATATGCAAACATTTGTCCATGACTCTTAGTCCCTCCTGTTCTGTAAAGTGCCTTATAAAATGGCTGTGGAGAACAGACTGAGAGTTAAGAGGAGCTACCAGGTGTCCATGATTAATACACTAGATAAGAAATTACTTCCTCAGTAGAATTTCAAATGTCCACTGAAAACCAAGATGAGGGTATCTCTAAGGAGCCTGAACTTTTCTGCACCCCACACAGAGATGCAGAGCTGCTTCTAAGGGTGCAGAGGTCACCTTAACGTCCTCTAACCCACAACTTTCAAAGTCTTTGCTCTAGGTTACAATCCTTCAAATCTACACCCCAGGGAACGAGTGAAAAGCCGAAGTGTTCAAGACCTCCCTAAAAAACAACATACCACTAGTCTTTTCCCACAATGTCTTGCTTTTTAAAACAAGAAAAGAGTTCTGTACTTTCAACCCTGAATGCAAGGAGAATTTGTAGCCAGAGAAACAGCAATTTGGCACTACCTCCATATCGTTATTCAGAGCCACAAGGTTCTTTCTCACTAGGGATGGAAAGAGGTAGGAATGGATAAATTATCATCCTAGATTTTTACTCACAAAGCAAAGGCAGATGTAAGTGACTGCCCAACCTAAAGATATTTTGAGACCCATTTAAAGTAAGTTCTCATTTTTTTTAAAAGCTTAGAAGGTATTTGAGGGGGAGTTAGGCTAACCCAGTCTGAAAGGTCAAAACCACGCCCTCAGGGTGAACTACAGCTAACCTTTCTAGTGGAACCCAGAGAACAAGTGTACTGTGAACTAGTGGTGAATTTAAGCCAATAAGGAGTTTCTAACCTTGCATACCACATGGTCCCATACAGAACAAGAAAGGGGAATTCCTGAGCTCAAAGGACTCAAAATGGCCAACAAGCTGCATTTCTGCTCTGCATGTAGAGGATCCTATCTGATCTCTGTTCTTGGTATGACAGTGTTCCTGCTCCACCAAGTATGAAAACTGCATTGGGGCAGGGGAAACAAGGAAATATACAATATTATGCATGGAAAATAGATCATCCTTAAAAATATCCACTGATGGTGGCTTATTATACCTGTAACCTGAGCACTTGAGAGGCCAAGGAGGATTGCTGTCAGTTCAAGGCCAGATGGGGCTACATAGTGAGACCCTATCTCAAAACAACAAAAGCAAAAATTCAACTGCTCTGGCAGAAAAGAAAAGACACAAGTCAACCCATCTTTGCAAGAAAGGAGTCATATTTTCTGTTCCTTAGTAGAGAAGGGTGGTGACAGTGTGGCATCAGGTAAAATCTCTCAATATACAAAATTGTTAACTTTGTTTTCTCTCTTTTTGAGACAGGGTCTGACTATGTAGCCCTGACTGGCCCAGCTCTTGTTGTGTAGACCAGAACTTTGAAAGCCCGAGTTAGAGAACATAAAGCAGTCGTTTACCGTTAGAAGAAGCTCTGCATCTGTGTCAGAAGAGAAGAAATTCAGGCCCCGTAGAAACGCACTCTCTTGGTTTGAAATTCTACTCTTCCTCCCTCCCTCCCTCCCTTTTTTTTTTTTTTTTTTTTTTTTTTTTTTTGGAGACAGGGTTTCTCTGTGTAACTCTGAAGCCTATCCTGGCACTCACTCTGTAGACCAGGCTGGCCTGGAACTCATAGAGATCTGCCTGCTTCTACCTACTGAGTGTCCAGATTAAAGACGTGCACCACCATCACTCCCATTTTGAAAGAGTGAGTGAGGTAGGTAGGTAGGTTGAAGGCCTTCCCACTGTAACATCAGGTCAGGCCCTGGGCAGACTCAGAGTCACACTATGGGTGATGGGAGATGTCATTCTGTAAATCTGTCTCTCTTATTGGTTGTTGAATAAAGCACTGTTGGCTAATAGGGAAGCAAGATAGATGGGACTAGGAGTCAAGGAGGATTCTGGGAGAGGCAGAGTCAGACACCATGTAGGCCGCCAGAGGAGTAAATAGGTCTGGACCCTTTTCTCTGGTAAGAGAAATACTTAGATTAACAACTATGGGTTAAATACTTAAGTCAGAGTTAGTCAGTAAGAAACCATGCAAACAGCCAACAACTTTATTATTAATATAGTGCCCTGTGTTATTTGGGGGTTCAGACATCGAAGCAGGGCCCAGGTGACTGGCAGGAAAAACTACACTCTACATATGGGAAATGGAAAGAGTAGTGAGCCTCAATCAGGAGACCTGGATTGTTGTGTCTCAGATTTTTATTTTCAGACAGTCTCACTGCGGTCCCCTGGCTGGTTTCAAATTCAGTTAGTAGATCAGGCTAGCCTCAGACTTGCCAAGATCCCATCCTTTTCTTCCTTGGTTCTGAGATTACTGTGCACATCACTATACTGGGCCTATGCCTCAGCTATTTCTATTATGGCAGGGTACTTCTTTTTAATATTTATTTTTATTCATGGGTATGCATTTCTACATGTTAGCATGCACACGTGCATGTGGATACCCACAGAAGCCAGATGAGGGTGCCAGATCCCTTGGAACTGGAGCTACAGGAGATTGCAAGCTACCACATGGGTGCAGGGAACCAAACTCTGATTTTCAGTAAGAACTACAAGTGTTGGCTAGGTGGTGGTGGCTCACACCTTTCACACCTTTAGTCCTAGCACTTGGAAGGTGGATCTCTGTGGCTTAAGGCCAGCCTGATCTACAGAGTGAGTTCCAGCTTCACAGATAAATCCTGTGGGGGGAGGGGACGGGACAGGACAGGGACTGCAGGTTTTTTTTTTTTTTTTTTTTTTTTTTGGGTTTTTCGAGACAGGGTTTCTCTGTCTCTGTATTGTTTTGGAGGCTGTCCTGGAACTCACTCTGTAGACCAGACTGGCCTTGAACTCACAGAGATCTGCCTGCCTCTGCCTCCCGAGTGCTGGAATTAATGGCATGTGCTACCAATGCCCGGCTTCTTTTTGCTTTTTTGAAACAGGGTCTCACTGTGTATCCTTGGCTGGCCTCAAACTCACAAAGACCCACCTGCTTTGGGGGCACTGAGATTAAAGGAGTGCACCACCAGATCTGGATGTAACGAATACTCCTAACAGACAAGCCATTTCTCCAGACCCAGTGTACTCTGTAGGAAGACACAATCGCTCAAATTTGGTTTCACCTGTAAACTGGGGACTAATTGTATCCTCCTCACCAAATTACTAGAAAAATTAAATAAGCTGTTACAATAAACATCTTATTCTTATATTGCTTAGCCAGAGACAATTTTAAGAGCTCACCTATCTAAGCCAGCATGGAGTCTTCCCTGAGCCACTCAGGAGGCTGCAAGGCTGAGGTGGCAGGATCACTTGAGCCCACAAAGTTCCGGTGAAGCCCAGGAAATAGCAATATTTTGTCACAAAACCAAACCAAAGTGCAACTATCTAATACCCTAAATTCACTGGGCGGTGGTGGCACACACCTTTAATCCCAGCATCTGGGAGACAGAGGCAGATGGATCTCTGTGAGTTCGAGGCCAGCATGGTGTGCAGAGCTAGTTCCAGTACAGCCAGGACTCTTGTAGAGAGACCCTGTCTCAGGGAAAAAAACAAAACAACAAAACCCTAAATTCTAGGCTTAGGGGAACCCTCCGCCCAAATTCAGAATGATCTCAAAGAACAGCTTTCCCACCTGCTGCATGATATCACCAGCGGTGAAGGACAACGGAAGACATAGACTTAGACTGTCACAATCATTGGCGTTCTGCCTGTAGGTGTCTGTGTGAGGGTGTCAGATCTTGGAGTTACAGTTATTAGCTGCCATGTAGGTGCTGGGAATTGAACCTGAGTCCTAAGGAAGAACAGTCAGTGCTCTTACCACTGAGCCATTCCCAGCCCCCCACAGAGGAATTTTTAGCTAGAATTCCAATCAATGATTTGATGGTTTCTATTAATCAAATGTAAAAAAAAAAAAAAAAACCCACTGCATTTCTGCAAACAGAAGTATGATACTTCAATAGGATAAAGTCAGAGCCAGAGACTTAGTTCTGTTGAAAGAGTGCTTGTCTTGCATGCAGAGCCCTGGGTTTGATTTCCTACACTGCATCATAATGGTATATGCTGGTATTCCTTCAAATGGGAGGTCAAGATGGAAGGATTGGAAATTCAAGACCATCCTTGGGCTATATGGTGAGTTTGAGGCCAGCCAGGGCTACATTTAGACTGTCTCCATGTAAATAAATAAATAAGGGCTGGAGAGGTGCTCAATGATCAAAGCCCTGGCTGCTCTTCTAGAAAACCCAAGTTTAATCCCCATCACCCACATGGACAACTATCTGTAGTTCCAGTTCCAGAGGATCTGATGCCCTCTGCTGGCCTCCATTGGCACTGCACACACACAGTGCACAATACAAACACAAGCAAAATACCTACACACAAAAAATAAAAAAAGTTAAGTAATCAAAAGAAAAGTGCTCAGTCCAAAGGTAAATTTCACTCATCTAGATATCACCTAGACAGACCCAATATCCATCAGGCTATTCATTAACAAATACCACATTTTGCCAAAAATTTCAGAATAGTCTTCAGGTGGTTCCCCCAACAGCCTCTTAGCAAAATTCTTCAGGTGATATGTTATATGGAAGCATAAACTGGTTAAACTCATTTTTCAAAAGGTGCATCTGCTCTTATTGGAATCTGAGTGGGAGTCAGAGTGCTATAAAGGCAATGCCTCCTTCTACCCAATGCTAGAAACTTTAATACAGCACATTTCCTAGTCACTGAAATGGGGTTCCACCCTCCCGATGGGCACAAAACTGATCAAAAGTGCTGACTGATGGCAAACACCTTTAATCTGAGCCCTTGGGGGGCAGAGCAGGGGAATCTCTGTGAGTCTGAGACCAGCTTGGTATGTGGGATGTGTTGGGAGTTCCTGGGAGTATAAGAGGGAGAATTTGGGGCATGGTTGATGTGATCAAGATGCACTGTTTACATTACATATATGAAATTGTAAAAGAATAAATAAAAGACATTTTGCTAGTAAAATGTAATTTAGTAAAAGAAATACAGATCATTTGTATTGTGGGGTATGCAATAATACAGGTATGTAATAAGCATGTCCAATCATCCCTGAGCTAAAACTATTCTGCACAAGAATAAGGACACCTAGTACTTGGGTGGGGGACTAATACCACACTGATGACAATGGGGAACAAAATATCAACGACCATAGTCTAGAAGCCAGGCATGGCGGTACATGCCTATAATCCCAGCCCTAAGAGGCAAAGGCAGGGAATTTTTGCCTGTGGAGATTACAGGATAACCTTTGAGAGTTGGTTCTCTCCTTCTACCATGAGGGCTCCAGGAACTAGACTCAGGCTGCTGGGCTTGGCAGCAACCACCTTTACACACAGAGTCATCTCATTGGTCCTTCCTTCTCTACTTTAAAAGAACTTTTATTTGAATATTGTAAAATGGGAGACGATGGATACAGAACAGTGGAAAGGAAGACGGGGCTTGAAGAGGCCTTTACACCCGGCCAAAGAAGTTACACTACTCCATAGCGAGGAGCCAAAGGAGATTTAAAACAAAATGTACTTTTTAAACATTTATTAAGGTGGGCCAGTGGCATACACCTATAATCCTAGCTATTTAGGAGACTGAGGCAAAGTTCAGCTTGGGCAACTTAGCAAGATCCTGTCTCAAAATAAAAAAGGTAAAGTGGAGGTGCACGCCTTTAATCCCAGTACTGGGTGGAGGGGGCAGAGGCAGGCAGATCTCTGTGAGTTCAAGGCCAGCCTGGTCTACAGAGTAAGTTCCAGGAAAGTTAGGACTGTTACACAGAGAAACCCTGTCTTGAAAAATCAAATAAATAAATAAGATAAAAAAAAACAAGAGCTAGTATAGATACAGCTCAGTGGCAGTAGGAAAGGAAGAGGAGGAAGATGAAGATGAGCAGGAAAAAATTTGTTTGCAAATTAATGGACAACTTTTTAAAAATTCCCAGGCTAGGCTAGACACGGTGGTATGCTTGTAGTTTTGGTACTTAGGTGGTGAAGGCAGGAAGATATGGAGTACAAGGATATCCTTGGGTACACATCTCGATGAGCGACAGCCTGAAGTACAAGAAACCCTGCCTCAATAACAAATTCCAGATTAGAGCCAGGAATGGTTCTGCAGCCTTCGGGAAGCTCAAGGCCAGCCTGGGCTACACAGTGAGTTCCAAGACAGCTAGAGCTACATCGGGGCACCCTGAGGACAGATCTAAGTAGACACTGAAGGAATGCAGGCTTGGGCAGTAGTTCCCCTGAAACTTCACATGGAGGCTGTAATGTTAGCACATGGGAGCTAAGGCAGGCACGTCACAAATCTGAAGCCAGTCTGAGCCACATTGTGAGACCCTGTCTCAAAAAAGGAGGTTAGTTAATTGATTCAATTTAATTAAAAATATTTTAGGTTAGGTCAACAAAGACTCAAACCAGAACACTACTATTGGTAAGGATAGAATTAGTGGCAGAGCAAATAACTCTCAGCTAAGTTTAAATATTCACTTTTGGGGCTGGGGATGTAACTCTGTGGTAGAGCATGGGTCTGAGCCTTAGGACAAGATATGTAAATACAAAAATAAGTAACAAACGAGCCCTGAGTCTCACTGACTTTTCTTTAGGATCATCTGAAAAATGGGAATACAACTTCCTAGTCTTATAGAAGTATTTGAGGATATTAAATTATATCAACATCTCATTGAAAACTGGCAACAAATAATGAGTTCCCCTCTCACCCTCTCTACTGTTCCCTCAAAACTTATTCTTCCCATCTCTTTTGGTAGATTATGAGCTCCTGGAAGTCAAGGGCCATCTCCTAGTTTCTGTATCCAGAATATAAAATATATTCAATCCACATCTACTGGATGAATAAAGGGTCAGTCAGCACCCTAATGTGACGACGTACTACTGTTTCCTTAGGTAAAAGCTGACCCTGGCCCTCGGACCAGCTTCAAGATAGGAGTGGTTGGATCACAGGTGGGGGAAGCCACAACAGCTCCATTAAAGCTGGAAAAGCATCTGAGAGGGGGCAGGACTCCTGCTGAGTTGAGCAGCAGCAGCGGCTGGGTGCTGTCTGTCCTATGGAGAAGGAGCAGTGTATGACTGACTTCTACCCATTTGGCCTTCTCAGGGTGATGAGGCAGAAGCAGGGCAGGTCTGCAGCTCTCATGTACTTCACAGCGCTGCTGCACTGCTGCGGTTGGCAATGGGTTCATTCTCCATGATGCCCCATCCTGGGGTCACTAAGCCCTAGATCAACTGAGGCAGGCTCTGTGCTAGGTGAAGGCTTAAGTCTCAGACTCCATCCATCACCTGGTCACAGAGCTCAGTCTCCTGAGGGCCTATCACTATCTAGGGGAACACAGGCTTTCTGATATTCCTCTGCCTTCCCTAAGAGCAGTGAGTGTTGGAAATAATTCTCATGAAATGCCTTTGCTAAGGAAGATCACTAAAGTGGCATTTCAGCAGAGGTGCTTATGGGAGCTGGGGCAGCACTAGACAAACGCAGGGCTAGTCCAAGCACCTGCCTTTCCCATACCTCAGCTTCAAGCAAACGTCAGCCTGATTCAGAATGAAATCCAAACCACATGCAAATACCCCCACCCAAGGTAGGCTCATTAATTTAGCCAATTAAAGAATTATATATCTATCTGGATTTCTCTCAACTCCATAAGAGACTGGGCTAACTCCTGTCTTCCTCTAGAGAAGAGTGGCTTCAGTTACCATTTGTGTCACTGTGTGTTCACACAGCTTGCAAAACTCCTAATACTCCAGAGACTGCAGAAGTAATTTTTACCCTGAACTTGGACCTGGGGGCTTGCAGCACAATTAAATGTGTATCTGGGTAGACACGTCAGCCAGAATCTCTATGAGTGCATGCTTGCTTTACTTCCCTTTGGGAAGATCACGGTGGGGTGTTGGGTAGATAGACTATTGGCACATGTGAGGCTTCAACAAAGTCAGGCTACATGGAACAGATCGTTTAATTACAGGAGCATTCCCTGACCCGAGACACGGCTCCGAACCTCCCACTTTACGCACAGAGAGCTCTGCCCCGACACTGCATCTGCAGGCTTCACGAAGCCTCCTGCCACCCTTCCTTCAGATTCTTTTTGAAGCAGGTAGAGGGGAAGGTGGGACATAGAGGGTGGTGGCAGGTGAAGAGAGGGTAGAGGGGAAGAAGATGAACCAAAAACAGGGTCTTCTTTGGGGACAGAGCAGGGGATATGTTTTCACATTACCTAGGGAAGGCAGATGGAGGAGAAATAGGAACATGGAGGAGAGAGAAACTAAATAAAGAGTACCAACGACCCCTGAGGGCAAAGCACAGGCTCTCCAAGGCACTCACTCAGGCTGCCCAGCTGTCGGATGACATTTGCCAGGGTGATGTTGGTCCTGCATTCCAGCTCGCTTGTATCGCTAGGCAACGTCTGACGGCACAGGTGCCTTGGCTCGATGTTCCTGGTTACTAACGGCATGGTGGACCTGCTTCAGGCAATGTTCTCAATGATGAAAAACAACCTAAAAAAGAATTAACAGGAAAGCGGTACTCAACCACAGATTCCAGGCACACTGGGCTATGTGATTCTTCTTTTCCTTTTTTGTATTGTTCTGAGCTGAAACAGTTTTTTGTTTTGTTTTGTTTTTAAATATTTATTACCAAGCCGGGCGCTGGTGGCGCACACCTTTAATCCCAGCACTTGGGAGGCAGTGGCAGGTGGATCTCTGTGAGTTCAAGACCAGCCTGGTCTACAAGAGCGAGTTCCAGGACAGGCTCCAAAGCTACACAGAGAAACCCTATCTTGGAACCCACCCCCCCAAAAAAAAACTAAACTACAAAAAAAAATACCCACTTTAGCCGGGCGTTGGTGGCGCACGCCTTTAATCCCAGCACTCGGGAGGCAGAGGCAGGCGGATCTCTGTGAGTTCGAGACCAGCCTGGACTACCAAGCCACAGAGAAACCCTGTCTCGAAAAACAAAACAAAACAAAAATACCCACTTTATTCCCCTACCTATCTTCTAGTTTAAGCATCTCACCTTTCAAGGTTTACTAAAGAATCTTGCTATGAGTTCAGAAATTCAGAAATGACATCATGGAGGTAGTGAAAACCTTTAGTAGCAATTACTGCTCTAACCAATTAAGAGTGCTCCAGGTAAAGAGGCATGGTCAGAAAATAGCAGGCACAGTATATATCTTATCCATGGGGTATCCACAACCAATACAGATCAGACTCTAGGCTACCAGTTACGAGGTTCAAAAACATCCCTCTGTAGCTAGGGATGTAACCTAACTGGTATGGTACTTGCCTAGGCTTGAGCCCCCTCACACCAACATGATATAAACTGGACATGGTGGTGCATACCTGTAACCCCAGCATTTGGGTGACATAAGAAGCAGGAGTTTGAAAAGTTCACAGGCATTCTAAGCTAAATAGAGTCTAAGGCCAGACTGAACTAAATGAGTTCCTTTTCTCAAGGAAAAATTAAAGGGGAAAAAAAAGGCAGCATTGTCTTCATCTGATACTCTCCACAATGAAATTAGCTGTCATCAATGAGCCCACAATCTCACGGACAAGCCTCTGTATACAACTTCTCTAGGTCTTCCTGGATGATGACTATTAACGTACAACTAAATACTAGCTGCCAGGATCTAGTAACACTACCAAAGAATAGTCTGTAAATTGAGAGGATGAAGGAAAATCAAGGAAAAATTTACATGCTCAATATGTCAAAGGGGATGCTGAGCCAACTGTGTTTTCAGACTCCCTGGCCCTCTTTTCCACCCAATGCTCCTCTACTGATTTCTATACACCTGTGCCAAGACCTGTAGCATGTGTGTAGAAGAGATCAGAAACCTTCCCATTGCTGTTTCTCATCCTAGGGGCTGAGCCCTTCCTTTCCCCAGGAATTCCACCCACCACGCCAGCACTTCAGACTCACCTGGAGCTATCATTTTAGATTTAGATTACCAAATTCCTGCATTACTAATTTAGGAGAAGGTGTTGCTCTCAAGAGAGTGGTTATAATTGAAGAAGTCAAGTCAAAGTGGACAGGTCTTGTTTTCATATCTAGGAAACTATAAAGAAATCTAAAATATCTTAACTGCTTTTGTGCTAGGGGAAATGGCAAATTCGTGTCAAATGAAAATGCACAGAAACAACTACAGAAACTCCTCACTATAAATTCCTAAGAAGAAGATGAGGAGGAAGAGGAGGAATCAGGTTTACTCACATCAAATCCTAAAACACCAGCTCATCATCAGACAGTTGCTTACGAATACAAAATGCTTACAGCAAGCTAATCACGCTGCAGAGCTTAAAAGCAAACCAACATATTGTTCCCCCCAAAAAAACAAAACCCCCAAACTAACAAACACACAGAGAGGCAGTGGGACCCCGTGGAACAGGCTGCTCCTTGTTATGGACATTCTGATCTGCTACAAGTAAAAATAAAACAGGAAGCCAGCAGCCTGGGGGACAAGATTTCCTGTCACCATCAGCAACAGCCTAGAAACTAAAAGAACCAGCTGTTTGCTTCTAACTTTGAACCTTAACGGTCACTGTGTGGCAGCTGTACCTATCTTTGGGGTGCAGAGGTGTTTCCTGAATACTTGTCCACTGTCTTAGGAAATGACTTCCATTCCATATCTCTATTAAGATCCTCCTTTGACCCAACAGGTTTTTAAACCCGAACTCTAGACTTTCTAGTTAACTTTTTCAGTCATTTACTAAAAGCAAATGATGTCAGGTACAAAGATGCACACTTACACTTAATAACATGGTGGAAAGAATCTAGAATGGGAAAGGACAAAGAAGGTTAAAAAAATAGAAGAATGTCAGGCCAGTGAGATGGCTTAGTGAGTAAACATGTTGCTGCCAAACATAACTAAATCCAATCCCCAAGATCCACATGCTGCAAAGAACCAACTTCTGAGGCTGGAGAGATGGTGGCACTGTGGCTTAGAGCATTTATGCAGTGATGATGCACACCTTTAATCCCAGCACTCAGGAGGAAGAGGCAGGTGGATCTCTGAGTTTAAGATCAGCTTGGTCTACAGAACTAGTTCCAGGACAGCCAAGGTACACAAACAAACAAACACTTATTGCTCTTTCAGAAAACCTGGCTTTGGTTCTCAACACCTATATAGTAGCTCCCATCTGTAACTCCAGTTTTAGGGGATCTGATGCCTTCTTCTGACCTCCATGGGTACCAGGCATCTAGATGTATGCAGGTAAAACACACACATAAACAAGTTGTCATCTGACACCTTCACATGTGTGTGCAGTGCAATACAAGCACACATACATACACACAGAGTAAAAAGTTATACATGTAAAATAAATCTTTAAAAATAAAAAGGACAAGCCGGGCGTTGGTGGCGCACGCCTTTAATCCCAGCACTCGGGAGGCAGAGGCAAGCGGATCTCTGTGAGTTTGAGACCAGCCTGGACTACCAAGCGAGTTCCAGGACAGCCTCCAAAGCCACAGAGAAACCCTGTCTCAAAAAACCAAAAAATAATAAATAAATAAATAAATAAATAAATAAATAAATAAATAGGACAAGCCGGGCATTGGTGGTGCACGTCTTTAATCCAGCACTTGGGAGGCAGAAGCAGGTGGATCTCTGTGAGTTCAAGGCCATTCTGGTCTACAGAGTGAGTTCCAGGACAGCCTCCAAAACAATACAGAGAAACCCTGTATCAAAAAACAAAAAATAAAATGGGGCTGGAGAGATGGCTCAGAAGATAAGAGCACTACCTGCTCTTCCAGAGGTCCTGAGTTCAATTCCCAGCAACCACATGGTGGCTCACAACCATCTGTAATAAGATCTGGTGCCCTCTTCTGACCTGCAGGCATACAGACATATGCTATATACATAATAAATAAATAAATGTTTAAAAAAAAAACAAAAAGGACAGAGCTGAGCAGTGGTGGTGTGCACCTTTAGTCCCAGCACTTGGGAGGCAGATCTCTGAATTTGAGGACAACCAGGGATATACAGAGAAACCCTGTCTTGAAAAACCCAAAAACAAATAAACAAATAAATATTAAAAAAAATAAGACAGTGAGAGAAAAATAATGTTAATATCCATCAAGATTTCTTTTAAAAAAGATGGGTCTTTTGGCTGGGTATGGTGGCCCAGGTCTTTAATCTCAGCACTTCAGAGGCAAGGCCTCTGAGTTGGGGGCCTGCCTGATCTATAAACAAGTTTCAGGACAGGCAAGGCTACATAGAAAGACTGTTTCAAAACAAACAAAATGCATTTTTTGTGCTGGCAATAACGGCCAGCAGTTAAGAGCACTGGTTGCTCTTCCAGGACATGGGTTCTAATCCCAGCACCCACACAACCATCTGTAATTCTACTTCCAGGGGATCTAATATTCTCTTCTGGCCTTTGAAGGCATTGTACTCACATAGTGTACTGCCACATGCAGATAAAACACATCTGGGGGAGGGTGCATTTTTCAAAGACATCAAAAAAAGAGACAAGATTCTTTGCTATATGAAACTACCTGTACCAACTGCTCATTTTTCTTTTAGATAATCAAGGATTGGTTATCTTCTGTACAAGAAGTATGAAATTATGCATAACATGAACCACACTAGTAAATTTGACAAAAGAAAAAAATCCTAGATTTTGAATGACGATAAACTTAGAAATGGTAAACAGACTTCAGCCTTTAGAAAATACATGGGTCTTGGAGTTAGGACATACATGAGTTGGTCTCCTGACTCTGATATCTCATAATTGTGATCTTCAACAATTTTCTTATAAACACTGAAAAATATATCTAAAATTTCCTCTACAGAGCTTAAAGCAAAGGGATAGTTATTTGTAGTTCCACAGATCCTAGGCAAATCTTCCCATTGAATTACTTCTATTCATTGATAAATATTTAAAAACACTTTAAACTATGGACACATTACATAGTTGAATGCAGCATTCACATAAAAAATTTAAAGATGAAACTCTAGACTTCAATGAATTTGATGGGTTTTCCCCTGAAGTTGCCCCTAGCTATACTCTCAGACTGCCTGAAATACAACACTCTCTCCTCCAGTCTTTCCCAACTGTGCTCCCCATCTGAACCACAGAACAAAGGAAATGATTAGAGTGACTGTTTTCTCAATTTTCCTCAAGACTGTATATAAGGAGTGCCAACTGTAGATGCCCCGGGAGTTAGTATCTCACACACAGGTGCCCAACAGCATCAGGCTTTTGCTTTCGTGAACTCTAGTTAAGAAGGCTCCTCCACCATCAGAAGGGTACTTCACCAGGAAATGGGGAGAACACTGGGTGTTGAAGAACCACTGAAACAGAGGTTCTAATTTGCATTTTAGACAGATCATCCTAATGTAAGGACAAAGGTTGCACAGGGCAGAAGGCTGGGGGTAGAAGATGAACTAAGAAATTTCATAGGTTCAAGAGAGCCTCAGAGACCCATCAGATCCCGGCTAGCACTTCTGGACTGAGAAACCAGAAAGGTTGTGGAACGGAGTCTAGCCTATCAGTCCCAC